CTTTCATGAATAGTACATTAAAATGTATTTTAATTACCACGTTGTCCTCTTTTCATTACTTACTATTAAAATATTTTGAAGGTCAAAATTGTGCTAACTTCGGAAGCCAAAGGAGTTTTGGAAGATTTCACAAACAACGTTACGTCTAAGTGTATTGTAAACAAAAGTGATTTGGCTAACTTTATTATTTGAGAAATATTGATTGAAATTATGAATAGAAACTAAAATTTTAAGATGAAGAAAATCAACTATTAAAAAACACTAGTAGAAAATATAAGAGAGTAATTAATAAAAAGGAAAACAAGGTAAGAGAATCATAACTTGATGTTGTCAAAAGCTTTTTGTTTAATAGTTTTGTTTGTTCCATAAATGTTCCCATTGTGTCTGTATATATTTAAATACAGTATTACAATTTATCGCATATTACTTTTTTAATCTATGCTTTTTTCCACGAAATCTACTATGAAAATAAAAAAAAATCCATCCTACATATTTTGCTTGACAACTTAAAGTCCCTGCGATAAAGTGACACAGAAAAGCTTATTAACTATATTTGTTCCATAAAATGTAAATCCTTGTTCTGTTCACTATAATTAATTATTTAAATGCTTAAAGTTGTTTAAGCTGAGTAGCTTTAATACACAATACAATTTTCATTTCTTTACATTAAGCATAAGTTCAAATATAACTAGCAATCAAATAAAAATCTTGATTAAACTTTAGTTGATAATCTTTTTTAATTCGTCAATATTATATATTAATAGTTAGAAAGTATATTTTACAAGAAACTATAGAGATATGTATATCATATTGAAAATAATAAATCCATTATAAGACCCTTTCAAAACAAAATTTCCTCTTAAACAAACCACTTATCTTGTAAATCCAATTTAATGTGTGATTATTACGTAACGTCAAAATAAGGCGTCATATTATTTGTCCTCTTTGATAATTCATACATTTTCTTGTTATAACAGTCTATAAAGCCTAGTTATAGTCAGTGCGCTTTCAAGTCTAGACGGGTTGGGGTGACTAAGATAATAATTACTGCCTTTACTTACTAAAGATAGAGATGCCTTAACCCTCAATAAAACCTTCTGATATCTTCGAGTACTTGATTTATTTTAATCAAATTCCACCAGTCAAGTGTATTGCCTACTTTTCTATTGTCCTTTAAAATTTAAAATTACCAATCTAATCAAATTATTCAATCTCAAAATTATTTAAATTTAAGAAAAAGCACGTTTTTTTTTTTAAATAGAATGAAAGACTTGCAGAAAAACTTAAAATAGATCCTAAAACCAGTTATCAAACAAATAAAGACGTTTAAAATGTTCACAATTTTTAATACCTGTCGGTTCAAAACAGTCTTCATAGCGGCTCTGCACAAACATAATAACTCTAGTATTTCCGATTTCTGTCAAAGGCCTTGACGATATTAAAACTAACGGTCGTTCCTCTCTCTGTCCACTATGACTACTCCCCACCTGTGATCAGAATTATGTGAGCAGAATTAATGAAATATTAAATGATAGAAAACGATACATTCTTAATGTTAAGATTCAAATTAACCATAAAGAAAATATTTGTATATCCATATGCTACCTTTTCACTATATATATGTAATTAACAAAAGCAATGTGATCAAAAGCCACATGCGTGTGATTACATTCATCTAATAATAATTTCCTGCCTTCTTTATCCCTTTCGGCCTATCTGTAGTGATAGACTAATTTCTTGTAACTACTAATATTTATATATTACTATGACGTTATATATTGCAAGTAATTAACTATGTTTTCCATATTTTAGTGATACATGCATACATTTCATGATAAAATAAAAAGAACATGAAAAAGAAAACAGAAAGCAAAGATAAATTAAAATTTCTTATTGACGCTCACCATTCATAATTTTACAGACAACATTGGATCGTTGACATTATAAATAATATTAAAAAGTAATTTAGTGTGTATTGTTATAAAGATAAACTCAGAAAAGTAAAAACGTTATTTTATGAAAATAATAAGAAGGGGAGAAGCTTAAGAAAGATTATCTCCTTTTATCCTTTTATAATTATTCATATAATTTTGTTGTTAACATCAACGTAATTTGTAGCTAACAAGTTATTTTACAATTTAAATACAAAATGTAGAATCAAAAAAACAAGTTCCGCTCGTGCAGATGTATGTATTTTTGTTCCCTAATACACATTAATTAATAATATAATAATTTTGTACGCGGTAGAGGTGGGAGCGAGAGGTATAACAGCGAAATCTCTCTACAACCTACTAAAGGACTTGGGCTTGTCCAGAACTCACATTAATGCATTCTTGGAACGTATATCGAAGGCAGCCCTAGTAGGTTCTTTTCAAATTTGGTTAGGTAGGGAGAGGAGCTTGGACAGTGGAGGTGAGCGTATAACGCGCGTTAGTTAAGGGGCCCCTTAAACCTACACTTGGGTCGCAAGTCCCAGGCACTGTTGAAGCTCCTCTCCCTGCAACGCGATGGACCCGGCACCCGCACGGTGAATCCATGGAATGCTTAGTAGTTTCGTCTTTTGCTAGTCAAAAAAGGTTCACTAATAATTTTACGACATATACAAATATTACAGTTTATTAAACATCGGGCCATATCAGCATATAATTATACGTATATATGCGTATGTATATGCCATATCTCGGTAGAGCTATTTAAACTTGGTGACCCATATACATTCCACTTTATTTAAAGTTTTAAAATTCATATTCCTAAATTTTGACGTTTTGGTTTGAATTTCAAAAAATAAAAGCATTAAAATTAGATTGCGATGTTTCGTTCAACTTAAGAAGTCACGCATAATTATATTATTTTACTGCAAATAAAAAAGTTAAATCTTTCTTAAAAGCATCTCTTATTCTTATAATCTTTCAATAATCCTCAACAAAAATACTTTAATTTTCTGTGAATTTCTTCAAAAAATTATAAATATATCTACAATTGAAAACAAAGTCTACTCAAGTCTACCCAAAGCCGTTCTGAAGCAAATTTATCTAAAATAAAGCCCTTAAAAGTTCTAGATATTTTTTGGTACTAAAATATTCCGATACTTTAAGCTTTGGTTATTAAAAAATAAACAATTTTAGATTGACACTAAGGTATTACATAAAATAAAATAAATTTTTAAGAAATTTTGATTGCTAAGACTTTCATTCAACATTTTCAGTAAACAAAATAAAACTTGTGATAATGAAACACTTACCGTGTTCTTATATTTTTAACTTGACGAAATATTTGTTTTGATTTTTAAAATAAAACACATTTTCTCGCTAAAGAAACATACGGATAAATAATTACAATAATAATAAAAAAAACAATCAAAGATCATTCGTGTTTAATATAATAACCAAAAAAAGCTAATTAGACGAAAAATTATGATGTTATAACATTATTAATACAAATGCTAAAGGAACTTTGTTAACCGCTGATATTGCATTGTTATAATTAGGTTCGTTATGGACATTACATATTGTTTTATTATAGTAACCAATTTAAAATCCAATTATGGTTACCTCAAATATATAATATAAGGTACAAGGAAAACACACTTCGTAGTATCACACAGAATAAAATTAGATACGTACATTTATAAATCTTCAAATTTTTCTTTAATCAGATGTGACTAAACTAAGACATTGTGTTTGTATTCATAAAAAGGTCTCTATGTACGAGTATATATTTATATATATATATATATATATTGACAAAATTTCCATATAAATAAATAAAGTGTTGACACGTTCCAAGTGTTCCAAGTGTGGACGCGTGCGGCGGCGTGCTGATACAACACCACGCCGCCGCACGCGCGCGTGTGTGTGTGTATACCTAATCTGTAGGGTGTGCACACGATGCGTAATTAATTACATAACTTTTGGTTAACTTTACTTAGAAGTTTATTAATATTTATGTTATATTAATTTTTGTTTTGTCATATATGATCGTCAAATATCACGTCCTCAAGTATCGATAGTAATTCACCAGTCACCCTGTATACATGTCTGTATGCATATATAGCAGAACATAAATTCATGTTTTTTCATATATATCTGCCATATTATATGCACTATATTAAAAACCCTTTTTATATAAAAAAAATAAAAAAAAATTCGTTTAAAAAAAAATTAAGCGTGAACGACCCTTATGACTTAGGGGTATGAAAAATAGATGTTGGCCGATTCTCGGACCTACTCAATATGCTCACAAATTTCATCAAAATCGGTCCAGCTCTTTCGGTGGAGTTCTCTGTCTAACACCGCGATATGAGAATTTTATATATAAGATTACAGCCGAGTTTTCCGAGGTCATGTCATATTTAAAATATATACTTTACTGTTATTTAACATATAATATTGCAGTGAAATCAGTTTTTATAGCACAATGTTATTATTGAAGATTTGGAAGCCTCAATACTCGCTTCTATTTCTGTATAATCCGAAAATTCTGTCCCATTTTTCTAGAATCCCTTAAACCTTTACACGAGTAAAACTTCATCTTGAAGTAAGAGATATAAATTTATCATCATATGGTACAATGGCTCGTTTTACTCGACAATATAAATACAAACAACTTTCCTTAATAATAAAACTTTATTTTAAATATGTGAAAAGACATATATATATAATTACTTTTCTTCGCTAGCTTTTATTGACAATTAAACTAGTTTTACAACAAAAACTGCCTGGCATAACTTGTGGATCTAATAAAAAAGGATTTGTACCTAAAAGAAGGATTTCCTGACAAAATTTTCATTGTCCACCAAACAGTCAAACAGACTCTTAGTATTTTCTAAATCATTTGACTGAATTTAGTATTTCAAATTATAAAACTACTTTATTTAAGAAGATAATGGAATAAAATTGTTTCATCGCAAAGAATATAAGTAACCAATAAATACGCCTGAACCACTAAAGTATTAGTATGAAAGGAAATTAAAATGAAAGATTTTAATAAAGTATATTTATTTATTCTAGTTTCAATATTCTTGCACCGTCACTCGGCTCGCACTCAAAGAACACTGGCTTACCTTTGTACTCCGCCCGGACCTTGCTCTTTATAGATGGCAAGTATTCCTTTTTTACCTATAAAAATACACCAAAGTTAATATATATAAAAAAAGTCATTATCTCACTGAAAATTTATTCTTAAGTAATGACTGTATCATATAGACAACAACGAAATGAACTTTTATTAATTTATAACTCCCCTTTTTATATAACAAATATCTTTTATGTTTCCATGTTATGAAATATTTAATAATCGAAACAATATTGTACAAGGTTTTGATGTCACATTTCAGTATAAGGTGAAAAAGTCAACAGATTTTCCAACATTTTATATAAAAAACAAGGGAAGCTTTAAACTAAATCAAACCGATGAAAACGTCCATTGTACACAGAAACTACAAAGAACAAACTAAAATTGGTTTATCAAACAACTACTGTAGCAAATTGTTAAAAACAGTTCGATTTCATTACACTAAAAGCATACATTCCATTAGCAACATGTGCTTTAAATTGTATATATGTTTAAAAATTATTTACTTTGATGCATTCAATAGTAGTCAGTATAAGCTTAACTCACTAAGGCTATGACGCATCCACCGAAGCCGCCGCCCGTCATTCTGGCGCCGAAGACTCCGTCCGATGACCTCATGATATCAACGAGCTGGTCTAACTCGGGACAAGAAACCTCCATCAGCTTGCTCAGAGACTCGTGGGACTGATAGAACAGACGCCCTACCTGGATGAATTACATGTTTTATATAGAAATAGATACAATTAACATGAAAGTCGCATTTGTATTAATGATCCTTCAAGATTGAGAGGAGAAAACCTTCTAAGAGTTGTGTAAATTACATTACAATTTATAATAATATGGAATAGTGCTGTATCAATCAGATTTAGTTTGATAATACGCTTCAATGGGTAAACTACTAAACGCGTTGCGTCAGGAAGATTCTAGTGCTCCAATTCCCTTCATTGCTCTATTAACACGAATTTTGGAATATTAATTACAAAATTAGTAAATGTTTTGCTTACAAGTTTATTAAATACATTTGAAATTTGTTGTTTCCGACTGAATAATGTACCTATAAATTTTTCTACATTAAGATGAACCCAATAAAAACACTAACACTATAACATACTTCAACTGGCAATAAATATTCATTTGCTTACTATTGTTTATCTCGATAAAGCTCTCGAGCTTGTAGGGATATTTATATTTATGTTTGTGATTTCCATACATATGTGTCGTAAAAGATATATCTTTCTTTTACATATAATGCAGTTAGAGTATATACCTATTGATATAAATTGGAGTTCTCAAGGGGACTGCACGTGTCCAGTTGACAAACATCATCACAGTTATAATGTAACTTTTCTATGTCCATAGTGTGTTATGTTCTGACTTGTTTGAACAGTAAAGAGACCTCGTGGATGTTGAACGCACTTCATAAATTTACATTTGATTTGAAGTTACACACAATTTTAATAATCAAACTTCATGTGGCAGTTTACTCATCTTATTTACAAATATAACTAAAAAAAAGCCAAATTTATTTAAGACCTTAACTCAGGTTTTCGTACAAGGGTCGAAACTAAAATAAACTGTGATGCAATGTACAGATATATATATATATATATATACAGGGTGACTGGTGAATTACTATCGATATTTGAGGACGTGGTAGTTGACGATCATATATGACAAAATAAAAATTAAAATAACATAAATATTAATAAACTTCTAAGTAAAGTTAACCAAATGTTATGTAATTAATTACGCATCGTGTGAACACCCTACAGATTAGGTATACACACACAATCACACATACGCGGCGGGGGCGTGGTTTTGTATCAGCACGCCGCCGCACGCGTTCACACTTGGAACACTTGGAACGTGTCAACACATTATTTATTTATACGGAAATTTTGTCAAAAATTAAGTACCTATTTTTTTACATAATTCGAATGAGAATCATGTACCGAGTATTCTCCTTAAATATTGATAGTAATTCACCAGTCACCCTGTATATACATACATATACAGGGTGACTGGTGAATTACTATCGATATTTGAGGACGTGATATTTGACGATCATGTATGACAAAATAAAAATTAATATAACATAAATATTAATAAACTTCTAAGTAAAGTTAACCAAAAGTTATGTAATTAATTACGCATCGTATGAACACCCTACAGATTAGATATACACACACTCACACATACGCGCGCGCGGCGTAGTGTTGTATCGGCACGCCGCCGCACGCGTCCACACTTGGAACACTTGGAACGTGTACACACTTTATTTATTTTTACGGAAATTTGGTCAAAAATTAAGTACCTATTTTTTTACATAATTCGAATGAGAATCATGTACCGAGTATGCTCCTTAAATATTGATAGTAATTCACCAGTCACCCTGTATATATTTGCTATTCTTGTTTTATAAAGCATAACACAGTTGTGGAAATAGGAATACCATAAAACTTAAGTAAAGTTATTTATTTATAGAAAGTTCAATAAGATATAATAATAGATATTAAACCTACTAACCTCCTTATAATCTTTCTTCTCTAAAAGTTGTGCGACTAACTCGGTCCGGGCGATCTCTTCGACAACGTGCTTAGCACGTTTCAGAACTATTTCCTCGCATTTCAGTTCTAGAACAAATAACAGAGCTAGATACTTTTTATCATACATACTTATAACTGTATTCAAGTAACAATAGATAAACAAATTGTCGCTATATATAACATAACGATCATTCTGTAAGTAATAAATACATAAATAGATTGAATGGTATTACGAATCATATTATTACGTAACGTTCCAAATGAAAGGAACCGATAACAAACTGAACGAGAAATTTGGGTGTAATGTAGTTAATAAGGTACTAAAGGAAACGATCTAAGAAATTTCCCACGAAAATCCCTCCTTTGATCCTATTTAAGTAGCAAATCGAAATTAAGGGTACATATACTGTATTTTTGCTTTCAGAATACATAAATAAGGTATTAAACGTGAAAGAAAATATTTATATTATCACTGGAAATAAATATGAATTAGAAATAGTATATAACTTAAATATTCTTAAATTTCGAAGAATCATGCATTTAATCGAATTAATCCTAATTTATATGTAGGCCCAATAAGTACTAGCTTTTCATAAGCTAAATATCTTTTTTTATTGTCTTATTCTCTTATACAATTTTACCTACAATAACTAAAAATAGCTAAAAACCACCACATGGAAAGTGGCTTTTAAATTATGATTAAAAGAAACCGCATGGAATTTAGTCCATCAATTGTAAGGCTTCAATTTCTTAAACAGAAATACACATACACACACACACACATATTTTGCACAACTATCTTTGAAACTTTAAAATTTACGAAATGTAGATTCATGATGCAAACATAACTACAGTATATTTTAAGAACACCTTATTTTCTCATTTAAAGAGTCCAAAGATTGTTTAATGGACCAACAGTCAATGAATACATAACCCAAGTTTTTCAATCCTTCAAATTAATGTCGTGTAACATTTACGTGCAAGATCTTGAACGGTGGCGCTCCTTAAGGACGGTTTCCCCAATTCATCAGCGGCCTGCTGACACTGCGCTCTCCTCTGAGGGTATTCACTTCCAGTTAACTGATGCTTCACATTAGAATTCACCACCAACAGAACGACGTCTGAACACTTCATTGGTACCTGCTTAGACTCTAATGACCTGGAAGATTCACGGATTATGTGGCTTAGAAAATGTCTTTTATGTAATATATATTCTGTTCAGAAATCGATACCTTATTATCGTCACAAGCGAATCAGTTTGACGTACTTACTCATTATAATACAATCCCTTTATTAGACTAATAAAATCAATTTCTCAACCACACTACATAAAAAATATATTAGACAAAATCCTTTACTATATGTATATAATTTTATTCTCGTAATGGAAAAATCCAATAACGCAATAATTCAATATTACCTTCCCGGTTTTACGGGACGGATGTTTGTTGTTTTTGGCCGTTAGTGTATAAAAAATTGTTTCTATTTTTGGTAACTTGTACTAAACTTATTCGTTTTAAAATAAAATAATTAATTACAAAACTTAACCAAACTAAAGAGTTGAATAAAAAAAATGGTTTACATTTAAATGAAACTCATCTTTTCGGATACTATATTATTTCCGAAAAAATTAATTTCATTAAAATGAGTACAGAAATTTTACACATTATAATGATATACATTAACAGGGAATTTGTTTTAAAAAAGTTAAGGAGAAACAGTTATACTTAAACAGTATAAGGATAAAAAAATAATTCAAAAATTTATAAATTGACGAGCACATTTTACATAATTAAGTAAAAGACTTGGCTTGTTCTTGACTATTTTTGAACAGACCATTCTAGTTGGGATTGATATTCTTACTAAAATGTTCAATAATTAATGTCAAAATATTTTCCTTGAAGAATATTGTAGACCTTTTTTTGCTTACCTGCAATCTATTAGTAATGCGTGATCTTTTTTTCCAAGAGTCACTATGAACTGATCCATAATACCGCACGGCATTCCAGGAAAATCATGTTCAGCTTTCTGACACAACTGAGCCTTTTTGACTGGACTGAAAAAAAAATTGACAAGGCCTGTTCAATAAGGGAAATGGTTTTCCTAATTTCGAAACCAAAACTATACGCCGAGATTAAATTTACTAATTGCTGGAACAAATTTCAAAAATTCCTTGTAGAATTGTGTTTCAAATTCTCTTCAATTCGCATCCACACGTTAAATTCTAATGACATATAACTATTAGGTTGTTTGAGATGCCTGCTAAGCTAAAAAGGTCGTATGGGAAGAATCACGATTTTGTTTTTGCTTTTCTAAGCCACAATAATACAAACAATTAACAAATATTATAAAACTGCTAGCTTATATGTAAATAAGTTACCAATGTAATTATTTCGCCAAAGTAGACTGAGGGTTAATAATAAAATTTTAATGCTCCCAGTTTGTGTTAGAAAATTCCAAAATTGTAACTGTTTTTGTACCTTGTTTTGGAAACTTCTATTCTTTAACGAGTTGTTGCTAGTTTCGACATTTATAATAGTGCGAATCAAAATTTAACGTGAACATAGAATATATTATTCATTCTCAGTTCATTCTATAACATATCCCGCGCACTAAACAAACGATCGCTTCATATCTGCATCCTTTATTAAATATTTATGTTTATATTAGCCAGAGCCGTGTTGTGAGTTGTTACTATTACCTATAACAGACTTCAATCAAACAAACTTCATATATAACTTCGTATTCACAATTAAAATAACAAAACAATATTAGGTAATGTCATTAAAAAACTGAATTAAAATCTGCTGAAATATATGTAAATGAACATATATTGACAGCACTCAATGAGCACTACATCAACGAGCCGTAAATAATTTATGGTAAAACTCTTTTTCGCACTATAAGCTTTATAACCAACGGTACACGCCAACTTAAACATAAATATAGTCTTACAACTTTTGAACATACTATTAGAGCTTATACTTTACAGCCTCTAAGTAGAGCTGCAAAAAACCTAATTTTGTGTTAAAATATTTTGGATTCTTTCTCATTAAACATACATTTTTTAAATTATTATTAATTCTATCAAGACTATTTCAAACAGGTTCCTGATTATTCACATCTAATTAAAGCTTAAAGTAATGAGTTACTTGGTTTATTATCACTAGAACTGGCACAAAATAAACCTTTTAGTACTTAGTATACCTCACAAGGTAACTTTTTCTTATTTTATAAATATATTAAAGTATCGACATACTCAACCGTGGTCTTAGTAAGGTCTTCTAGGAACGTGAAGAAAGCTACTTCCAATGAAGCACTACTGGAAACGCCAGAACCCATTGGCACGTCTGATACTATAACTGAGTCGAAACCTTTCACCTTTTCTATAAACAGAAAGACATTCAAGTTATATTTATATAAATGAGCTTTAAAATAATTTTATTGGATACATTCTAAATATACCTTATAAAGATTGAAATTAGCTATCTTAACATAATTAAAATCAGATAAATGTTTTCAAAGCACTATAAGTATTTTCTTTAAAACACTGAGTCAATGACAGTGAAGTCTTTAAAATTATTAGGATAATTTATACTGAGGTACTGTGGGTACTTAAATAAAATATCTCTATCAATGAAACACCATATAACAAATGATAAATTAGAAATAAATAACGTTGTATTAAAAAACCAAGTATAATAATAAAAAATAGAATCTTGTTCAGAAAGCGTAGTTATACTATGTACATTGTTGATTTCTTTATATTTTTTACTCGGTCAAATTTAAATGTAAACTTTTTTTTTAACTCCAGAGTGTGAGTCTTTAATGGAATATTTTACAAATAATGTACATATATTAATTTTTTTATTTAACACACCTGGAAAATTGGCCAGCACGCCCTTTACATAGTTAGCCCACCCCGGCTCCCCGGGTTGCAAAGAAGATGATTCTGTTGAAGGGAAGCTGGTCTGGACCTCTTGTCCACTGGCTAGGATTGACAGGACCCTACACTCATCAGTGGAATTGTATGAACCCACCACAACAGTGAAAAATGGTAACGCCTGCAAAAATAATATAGTTAAAACAGGAGTAATTATTATAATACTTTTCGATGTATAGTATGATTTTTGCATACATTCAATTAATGAAAAGTACAATTTACACATATGTTATTTCTTCGGGTATTTATTAATTTCATTGCGAAAATACAAATATGCTTTTAAAAAAATCTATCAAATAGCAACAAAATATCTATTACATATATTAAATTTTTATCAACTATGTACACATTTTACTTTGTCGGTGTTTATTACAGAATTAAGATTATCTACGCGAGAACTTATTCTTTTACTAGCAATAAAATTTACTCTGTCATTTATAGAACCATAAAATTTTACGATTTGTAGCATTTTAAGGTGGCTTTGAACGTAAACCGCTAAAGGTAAGCCATATTAAACACATAACAGGTGCTTCAAAAGGAAATAAAAACAAACAAAAAAGTGCCGTTACTAAAAAGTAAGACTTAAAAATTTCAAACAATTTTATCAAAGAATGCATGACGGAGAAGTTCAAATCGAAATTGACTAAAAATACGTATAACTATAGAAAATATCTAAGGATTTTCTATTTGATTTTTGGAAACACATACCACAGGCAGCACGAACCCTTCACAATAGTCTACGTGCTCCCCAATGAGATTGACCCTACCGGGGGCTGCAGCAGCCGCTGTCGGCTTCCTATTGTATGTGGAGACGAACTTGGAAACTGCCTCTCTAAGCAGCACATCTTCACCTTTAGCAACAGCTTCCGACATCTATATCAAGAATCATGATTAATTATTATCCAGCTATATAATTTATTTAGTGACATCTAAGATTTTCGAGAATTTTATTCATTTAAATGAAACTAATATTTGTCGGCTATACTACGCGACTATATTTTTGTAAAAAAACGACGATATGTGCATCTCGTCTGCCAGTGATCACAGTAGCTGAAAAGTAGCCGAAACGTCGGGAGTATAAAGTTTTTTATAAAAATAAAATCGCATAGTATATCCGAAAAATACCAGTTTCATTTAAATCTATTATTTATTGTACATAATCTTTCTAACACACATTTCTGGACCAATAACACATATGTAATCAGCAATATTTGCCATACTAAATATTCCGAACTAAAAACAATATAGGAGTGTTATTACAATTTAGTAATAGCCTTAAATATATAGCGATTTTCATACTTCAAAAACTTTGATAAAGACTGACATTGTATAAGCATGATAAACAGTGGCGGCTGTACCTTAAGTGCACTCGTGCGCTGAACCACCAATTCAAAAGATTTAAAAATTACAAAATATTACTTCATCTTTATTTTTAAAGTACCATTTTAATATTTATTTTTTATACATATGAAAACGTATAAAAAATGAAATTTCCTAATATTATGGTCAAAAAGTTTGAGCGCTTTACTTAACTCATATCGTGCGCTTCGGCGAGTGCACGAGGACTGCAAATACATTTTGTATGAGACACGAATTAATACGCCTGACGCGTGAAACAAAAGATAGTTCATAGAAATGTACCGAGTAATGAGTCGGTTCTCGAGCGCCGCACGAGCGGCCGAAGATTACTGAGAGCACCCAATGTATGACGACTGGGAATTGAAAAGAATCAAAACTTTTCTCCGAAATACCTTGCACTTGCTAAAATGTGCACTTTCTGTGCTTAGTATTGAATAAAAAAAAATACAAACAATACCCGATTTTAATAAATAGGTGATTGAACATATCGCTTCGGAAAAATGTTGTTGCATTAATTAATGTATAAAAAATAAACATATTTTATGTCAATTGGTTTTTTGTTACATTTTCTAATTTTAATATTTTAGTAAAGTGCACCACCAGTTCGATAACCCACAAGCCGCCACTGATGATAAATGAAATTTTAAATGAAAGAATGTTTATTTACATCGAGAAAAATAATCTCTATAACAATAAAACCGATGGAACAACATAAACATGGTTAAGTTGAGAACAAATTTGTTACAAACAAAACGGACGTTATAATATCGTTCAATATTAAACACGTTGCTGTCCTACGAAATAAAAAGTCAGCATGATTTTGTATTTCTTATAATCCCCTAAAGCTAAAGCTGGGATAATTGCTAGGAGGAAGAAGAAGAAGGATATATTATATAGAAGAGATAATATTAATATTCCCTAATTTACACAAAAAAACGTGTTTATATATATTAAAATATAAATGAAACAAGGTGGCCGGTAATGAATTGAAAACAATCGACAGAGTTGCATGCTACGGCTTGTTTTTTTCGCCTCTGTCGTGTTTGCAAAATGATAATATAATCTAGTTTACATATGTTTAACGAGATAAAATTTAAAATGAATCTTTTTATGTAATACTTCATTAAAATTATATCTGTGTTATAATGGGACGATAGAAATTAGCGTATTAATATTAAGAATATTTTCTTAAGGTCCTACTAATTTTGGTGCTTGTAACTGTATGTTTTAAAGTTAATTATGAAAATTGGTTTAAAAACACGATCATATCGATTAGTGCGTCGTCTAAAGGATTATACTTTATAGGTAGCTTGAGTTTATATAACGATCCTAAACAATAAAAGAATTCAGCCTTCTCAGTATTTTTCTGTAATCCAGATCCATTGATTCATTCCTTTTAATGTTACATTTTGTAAAACCGAAAGTTTAGTTATCAATGAGTAAGAAATATTAAATAAAATTATCCAAAACGATCGATTTACTAGCCTTAAGGTTACAGCTAAACAATGCAATATTATTTTAAATGATAGACAAAATAAAATTCTTCTCTAGTTACAAAAAGTACCTATGAAGTAAATTAACCAATAGAAGCTTGTATAGGAGTGCGTCTGTAATGTAAGTGGATAGGAATATAAGATTATATACTATACTAATAAGAAATACGAAGGTAAACAATCACCAATAAACTATAACTACCCCCAAACTCATCGATCATAATACGCCATCTATACATGTAGAAACATATTACCTTATTAACAGTAAAAACCATAAACAATAAACTTTTTTTATTTTAAATCAATTATCACATAAAACCGCTTTAGAATCCTTTTATTTATTTTTTAACTCACCGTGAATATAACACCACCTACACTCACTCAGACAGCCACTGCCCGTTGCTCGGATACGTTCATTCAGTTACATTAAATATAAGGCTGCGTACACGACAACATACTCTTTGATACGATTTAATTATACTTGTATATGGAAGAAGATAATAATTAACTCATAATAATCTTCAAAATAAAAATCTTTCAAATATTTCTTTTGTTTTTTTTTTTAACTAAAAAGTTGGAACCAAATTATATTATTAAAACTAGAATAGGCAACAAAACTGAATTGGTACGTAGAAATCTGTTTGGAGCTTTGTCATAATATAAATATCATAACCAAGTTTTGCCTTCAGTTTTATTATAATGTAACTTTGTAGAAACGACAATTGATATTGCTACTTAAAACTTATAAAATATTAATAACATAAACATACTTATAAGGGATATATTCATTAACTTATTCCAAAACTTTGTATATAATATTATTATTTCCAATAATATTTTACTTTTGATATTTAAACCATTATTCGATCACACAAAAGGAGCTGAAGATATTGATAAAAAATGACACTATGGCCATTTATATTCAAATCAGTGAGCCCGAATCAATGTCTGGGTGAAAATTATAGATTTTTATTATAAATAAAACTGGAAGACTATCAATAATAATCTGCTTTACCACCATATTTAATTACATAGTATTCATTTAAATGCAACGTATATTTCGCGGACGTTACTGTGAAGTAACCGAAACGTCGGGAGTATGTAGTTTTTGAAACAAATAAAAAATCGCGTAGTACTTCTGAAAAATATTAGTTTCATTTATATTACATAAAAATCCCTGACCACGTCCTTAGCGAGTTAATGATATCAAGTAGTTAGCTTCATTGTTTTATTGACCCTTGTATTTCCGATAAAAGTTATCACAAAGCTATAAAAAACGTAACAACTACTCACGGATTTTGTTCTCTCAAACCTGTACCAAATAAACTACTCATTTCAAACCTATTTTACATTTTATACAAAATCAATACATATATATTGATGAAAATAATATTAAGCGGAGTTTTCCTTGAACAATATTTGAATAATGTTAACTGTTTACGTGGAATTTATAAATGTGTTATTTTCCTGAAACATAAATTACATCGTTCAGTACCATTGAGTTCTACCAACTATACTCTCATATAAACAATAGGTACTTATTCCATTCTTTGGACTATAGAGTAAAAACTTCATCGTGTTTTAAAATCATTTCACGCTATAAAATAATTTAAATTATTATTTAGGTATGTACTATAAATAAGGGTCAGAAAAGCAGCTTCTCTTTGTATATAATATAATCACAATAACTTCTTTCTGTTTACTAGTAGAAGCAGGTCAAATAAAACAAACAGATAACTGATCATTACATTATACTCATATCTCTATTAAAATAATAAGTTTTTTATCTGATATATGTATATGGGCATACATAATAGAACGACGTGATAATGGTTTAACCTAAGTAATACAATAAATAGACTTGCATGCTGGGTAATGTTTCAAAATATATATTTTTTATACCAATAAAAAACTTAGTTTCGATATTTCTATATTATAATAGTTTTGGTAATAAAAAATTAATATATTGGAATATTAAAATTTTGTGTTTTAGTTACAAAAATGTGCACTTTTTTAAAGACAGAGTTTGTGTAGATGAAAATTGACGACCACAGCTTATTAAGTACCAAAAGCTATTAAAGAAAGATATAAGAACATGTTACTAAATCCTAAATTAAATATAAAATCTAACAATAATTCATTCCTACTTATATTATAATCAAGCAGTGTTTTGAAAAAGATACTGTTTTGAATTTTCAACTTTTTAACATGTATTAAGTAATTAACGTACTTTTTAGAATCCGAGAGTGAGGTCATAATGTATAATTATATTTATAAATACAATGGTGCATGGTTATGAAAAGAATTAATAGTAATGAATTATGTATTCATACATAATATGACGAACTGCATAGCCAAGAATTCAAAGCCAACCATATACAATATTGTCATGCTACATTCAAATGTCAACTTCAAACTAATGATCGCAGATCGTCTATCATAATATTACACAAATGATTAAAAAATATTTCTATTTGTGTGAACAAACTATAACAAGTTAAATATAAAAACATTTTTTATCTTTATTAGTGTTGTAAGAAAAATCTTAGAGAATATTTTAATAAAGAATATGTCGCTAAAAACAAAAGACGTCGTACTTTCTGAAGATCGGCCTAAGACTTTGTTATTACAGAAGCATTCCGACTATTTAGCTAGCTACGGTCTAAATAAAAACGATTATGAATATTGCATGACAGAATATTTAAGAATGTCTGGTATTTACTGGAGTCTAACCGCGATGGAACTTATGAATCAGTCGTCCAGGTATAACTTTATTTGAAAGAAAATTACTATAAACCTCTACTTGTAGTCTTGGTGAGGTTCTAAACTTTATTTTGGCAATTATTACAGGATGCCAAAAGAGGAGATTATATCATTTATATCAACCTGCCAGGATAGTGAGAGTGGTGGTATATCAGCTTGCAACGGCCACGATCCACACATGTTATATACTCTGAGTGCTGTTCAGGTGAGTGCTGGTAATAGAAATAATTACTCATTCAAGCAATTCTATTCTGGTTGTTAATAAAACAATACAATGTGTTAAAGTTCTAATTAGTTAACAAACTAAACAAAGTCCTGATTTTTTTTCATACATTCCGATATTGAATAGTAAATCAGAAATATATATATTGAAATTTTTAATGACAATACTTTCAGGTCTTGGCTATGTATGATAGACTGGATGCAATAGATGTTGAAGGTGTGGTCAAATTTGTGAGTTCCCTGCAGCAAGAAGACGGAAGCTTCTTTGGTAATTGGCTTTTAGGGTTTATTCACATAAATGGTATTCACCCACAAACATTATAACATGTCGGTTCCAGAATATGAACTAGTTTTTTGTGAATTGTGCCTCTAGTTTTCATTATAATACCATTATTTTAACTGTGATTAAGTTTGTATGTATAATACAAATACTAAGTTTTAACAATAACTAGTTTGTCAATCCTTGTAAAATAATTTATGTATTTATAATTAATTTTTTATACTTAGGTTGTTATAAAAAGACAATGAGACAGTCCTATTTATAATCCATTATTATCAATAGTATAATTAGGTCCAAAATACCAATAACATGTATAGAAGTAATACTAAAATAGTTTATTCTTAAACAAAATCAAGAACAAGTTGTTCATCATATAATAATAATGAAAACTAGTGAATTATAACATTTACTTAACTCATTGTATAAGTAATTTTATGTGTCCAAATATATTTAATCTTTATTCATAGGTGACAAATGGGGTGAAGTTGATACTCGGTTTTCATTCTGTGCGGTGATGTGTCTCTCATTGCTACATCGTCTTGATGCGATCAATGTTAACAAGACAGTCGACTTTGTAGTGAGTTGTATGAACTTCGATGGTGGCTTCGGATCAAAACCAGGCTCGGAAAGTCATGCAGGTTAAACTTTGATATGCATTAAACCTATTTAGTGAACAGAGAAAATTCTATATTTTTACATATATATAGTTATGTGTTATAGTCCATTAGACTTAACCTGAGCTTTGCATTTGTGTGAGTGAAAGTCAAAGAAGAGTTAGAAAAAAACTTTTAGAATTAAATTTTATTATATTTTAATAGATACATATTATAAGTGTAAAGCTATTCTAGATTAAAAATGAAATAAGCGAAACATGTAAAAGGCTAAATGGAAATATTACGGAAAAAATATTAAGTAATCAAAATTTTGAAAAAACAATACAAATTTTTCTTCACTTGACATTGCGTTTTCAACGTTTGAAGTTGCTACCAGTATAAAAGGTACAAAGGGTGAAGTGCGGAAGGTGCAGGGCGGAGTAAAAGCAGAATCAACCGGTTAAAAACTAGAAAAGAATGTGTCATTCAAAAATTTGACATCACACCTACACTATCCGTGTGCACTCACACTAATGCAAAGCTCAGCTTAAATCAAACGCACTATAGTTATACTTGCTCGGTGTTGTTAAAATAATATGATTTCAAGTATAATATACATAGGTTACTTGATGATATTAGTTGCTGTCATTCAGTTTGCTACTTAGCACAATACATACTTACATGACTAATTTAATATAGTTTTTTTTAATACTAGAGTATATTTCTTGAGACATAGTTAATATCAAAGTTACTATTTTTGTTATAAAATTACACATATGCCAAACAACTAAATAAGGTTTTATTAAAAACTAGCTTTCCGCCCGCAGCTTCCCCCGCGTGGAGTTTGGTTATATCGAGTTTCCAAGAGAACCGTTCAAAAGTCTGGGATAAGAACTATCCTATGTTCTTTCTCAAGGTCAACTCTATCTCTGTACCAAATTTCATTAAAATCAGTTCAGTGGCTTAGGCGTGAAAGCGTAACAGACAGATAGACAGAAAGAGTTACTTTGGCATTTATAATATTAGTAGGGATTAAGTAACATATGAGTATTGAATTATATATAAACTACTTCTTTAACTTGTTCCATCCCAGGTCTTATTTACTGTTGCGTGGGGACTTTATCAATATGTAAACGAATGGAAGTCCTAAAAGCAGACGAGCTTGCTTGGTGGCTCTGTGAAAGACAACTTCCCAGTGGTGGCCTTAACGGTAGACCTGAGAAATTACCTGACTTATGTTATTCTTGGTAAGAATTATATTTATTTTTAACTTTCAGGTTTGAAACCAAAAAAAAAGTGATTTAAATTAAACTAGTATTTGTCAGATATACTACGCGTGCTTCTTTTTTGTAAAAGACTACATACTCCCGACGTTTCGGCTACTTTTCAGAAACCGTGATCACATCTCATCTGCCCGCGATGAGATTTTTAAATAAATAAAGCACGCCTAGTATATCCGAAAAATATTAGCTTCATTTCAATGAATAAAACTCTCGAAAGTCTTAGATCTTAATACAAAAATATATTATATTAGTATTTTTCTAAAATAATATTAATATTTTTGTTTTATAGTCACAAATGTAAGTGTATTGAAATATAGTTATAATATACAGGGTGACTGGTGAATTACTATCGATACTTGAGGACGTGATATTTGACGATCATATATGACAAAATAAAAATTAATATAACATAAATATTAATAAACTTCTGAGTAAAGTTAACCAAAAGTTATGTAATTAATTACGCATCGTGTGAACGCCTTACAGATTAGGTATACACACACACACACACACGCGTGCGGCGGCGTGGTGTTGTATCAGCACGCCGCCGCACGCGTCCACACTTGGAACACTTGGAACGTGTCCACACTTTATTTATTTATACGGAAATTTGGTCAAAAATTAAGTAACTATTTTTTTTACATAATTCGAATGAGAATCATGTACCGAGTATTCTCCTTAAATATTGATAGTAATTCACCAGTTACCCTGTATATATTAAATAATTTATTTCAGGTGGGTCATGTCATCTTTATCTATGTTAAACAGAATACATTGGGTTGATAAGAAAAATTTGGAACAATTCATATTGGCTTGTCAAGATTCAGAGACGGGGGGCTTCAGTGATCGTCCGGGCGATATACCAGATCCGTTCCATACTTTATTCGGCTTAGCTGGCTTATCCCTTCTAGGAGACACTAGTATTAAACGAGTGAACCCAACATATTGCATGCCTCAAGAAACTATAGACAGGTTGAACCTGGAACCACAGATTTTGCTTGTATAGCTGTAATAACACCAAATGCTTTAATTATATAAGAAATATATAATATATTTAATAAAATTATACAAAATTTCATTTAACTGCAATCACTGGTTTTTTAATAAGTTCGCTGTCCTACTGTTTTATAGTATTTTTTTGTTATGGCAACATATTACGATGATTTATTTATTCATATGACAAGGTTTAAAATGTCAGTGTCATTTATATAGATAAAATGTAAACATAACCAAATTCTATTAATATTTTACCTAATTATTAACAGATTTAAATGAAACCAAACAATAATGACCCATATATACCTACTTCAGTTCTTTATATTTAGTATATGTGTGAATTTTTTCTCAATATTCACTTGGTTTATTTACTACAGCGGTTTATTAACATCGAATTTGTTTCAAGATATCAAATCAGAGTATGATTACATTATAGGTGGGTACTGATACGTTTGACTCAAAATTAAATGTAATAACATATTACTATCTTATTTAACTCTTCATATATAACATTTAAGCATAATAATTCTTCGTAATCAAATCTTTCAACGGCATTTAAGCATATATCTTCTATTGGTAGTTGGATCTGGCACCGCTGGCTCCCTTATAGCACATAGACTAGCAGAAACCAACTATACGTATATAGTAATCGAAGCCGGAGGTTTTGGTCATCATTTTCATGATATCCCAGCATTTGGACCATTACTTCATGGATCGCAATACGACTGGGGGTTTGAGACAGTTGCACAGGATAATGCATGTCTTGCTATGGATGGCCATGTAAGTTAACAACAACAAAAGATACTACATTGTACATAAATCCAGACAATTAAGTAAATTTGATTTGAGAGTAATAATCTATCACAAATTGGTGATTAAAAAAATGTGTAATATATATTTGATTGTTACAGAAATGCAAACTTTCACAAGGAAAAATATTTGGGGGTTCATCCAAAATGAATAACATGATACATGTTAGAGGAAATATATCTCATTATGTTGATTGGTTTCACGGTAAATATACTAAAGAGTATATTGAAGAACAGTTTAATTATATAGAGTCTGAAATATTTAATTTAAGTCATCTCCAATATGATAGTAATTTAAGTGATGCTATATTAAATGCTACCAAGGAATTAGGTTATAAGGAAATAAAACATTTTGATAATGGATTTATGAAATCAACTGTTACCCAATATAATGGCAAGAGATGGACAACATCACATCAATTAGATCCAGCTAATGTTTTAACTCATGTGTTAGTTGAAAAACTATTAATAGAAAAATCTAAGTGTATCGGTGTTAAGACAAGTAATAGAAAAATTCTAGCAAGGAAAGGTGTAATTCTTAGTGCAGGGACAATCAATTCAGCTAAAATACTTCAGCTTTCTGGCATAGGGCCGTCTGAACTATTGAAATCTCTTAATATACCAGTAGTAAAGGATTTGCCAGTGGGAAAAAATCTTCAAGATCATATTGGTACTGGTTTAGATTTGGTATTGTTTGATGAACCACAGTCAGTTACAACTTCAGATATTATGGATCCAATGAGTGTTGTTCAATATTTCTATAACGGTAAAGGTCCTTTGACTACTCCGGGATGTGAAGTTATTGGTTTCATTTCTACCAAAAACGAAGAAATCCCTGACATACAGTACATGGTATTGCCAGTTGGAATAACTTCAGATAGAGGTTCACATTTAAGAAGGAACCTTGGTATTTCCGATGACATATGGAAAAATTACTTCGAAAAAGTATTTCATAAGCACGCAGCGACATTTTTTCCTATAATACTACATCCTAAAAGTAAAGGTGAAGTGAAAATACAAAGTAAAAATTCAAATGTGCCGCCTCTAATTAATCCGAGATATTTATCTGATGAAAATGACATCAGAAGTCTGGTTGAAGGTGTTAAGTTTGTAATTAAATTATTAAAAACCGAATCACTTAAAGTCATAGGGGCTCACTTGAATGATACACCATTTCCGAGTTGTAAGAAATATAAAATGTTTTCTGATTTATATCTTAAATGCTATGTTCAACATTTGACTTTAACGAGTTATCATCCAGTGGGTACATGTTCCATGGGGCTGCCAGATTCAATAAATACAGTAGTGGATACTTCATTTAGATTGTTAGGAGTAAAAAACTTGTATGTTGTCGATGGTTCAGTGTTACCAACATTACCAAGCGGTAATATTAACGCCGCCATTGCCATGATGGCGAACTTATTTTTTGAAAATGTAATACTTAAAAATATTGATAAAATTGAAACTTGCCAAAGAATTTTCTTAGTGGAATTGTTACATAGGGTATGCTTAGTTGGATAGTATTAATTTGTATACTGTTTTTAATAAGGAAAATTCGAAACGCTTAGTTTTTAAGGTTACAACGCACATTGTCGTATTTTGAAATTATTACGGTTTCTATAAAATTTTTACTATTTAAAGTTACAGTACACCCATTTCCTTGTTTGGTTAACCAAAATCGTATCCAATTTCATGTGTTTTTAAAAAAATATTTTGCGCAACGTGATGCGTCACGCAAGTGCAAAAGTTGTGTTTATTAAATATTCAGATAGAGACATTTAAAAAAATGTGTTTAGCAAATAATATCACAAAGAATCGTCAACCGATACCAAAGCTTTATAGAGTAATAATAGATTGAAATTTTCACACGATGTTTCATTGGTGCCATAATGATATTTATTTTGGAATTATTTATTACCAGATATATTTAATATTACTAAGAATAAATTTTTGAATAATATTGAGTTTTTATTTGTCTAAATTCTTGTTAAGTAATACGTATATAAATTCAACAGGATTTTAATGGGATGAAATAAAACATGGTTAACTTTTTTAATTTATATATTTAAAGATACTTCTACAATTCCATACACATTTTGAGCCATTTCTAGAAACGTTACAATTAAAAAAATCCGTTTCGTTTAAAAATAATAACAATAAGGCCGTCTTGTGTGAATCGAAAACATTTTTTATATCTCAAATTCATTACGATTATTGCTTTCAAAATGCACAGTTTACAATGTTGCATTCGTTATATAAAAAATAGTGCTCGTTAAAAAATATGCATTAATGACTAGAATGAGAAATCATTGCTCATTTATTGTGACTATTTTAGAGTACAAGGACTCAATGTGATCTTTTTTTATAAATCAGAATCTATTCTGTTACCATTTCGTTAAAAACTTAGCGTTCATTTAAGACACTTACGGAAGTCACACTATGTCTACTTCATCATTATATACATTTAAAATGTCACATAGGTAACTAATTTGTGCATCTCGATATATCATATTAGGTAAGAAATCTTAGAAAACGTATTTACAAAGAAAAATGTGTTCGTTTGACACATGAAAACATTTAAACATTCATAATAAATATTTTTATTACTATATAATACTTTGTGCTGAGCAAACGTAATTACAACGCAGTTTCTGCTTAGTGAATACTGGACGGATTACCTGATAGGTCCTATTTCTAACTAACTATTAAGCAAGGCAACTCCCTTACAAAATACTGACATACAACTAACGACAAGATTTGACAATTCTTTTGAAAGTACGTATTACAATGACATCTGACATTTTAATTCAGAAAACAGTTTATTACAAGTAATAATATGACAATTACAAATTTATTTAAATATATTTTAATATATATTTTTAATAAGGACAGTTTCATTGAAAAACATTGAAAATTTTAGAAATAGAAAATAGAAAGACTTTTACTTTGTATTACAATTGAAGAGTGCATTACAAATTATCTTTGATCTAACACCGATTTAATATATTCAATATTATCTACCATTTTTTTAAACACTAACAGTTGTACATTACTAATACTGAGCGGTAAAATTTGCCGTTCCACTATACTACTTTATATATAATATTTTTAATACTGAATCAGATAAGTATTCAATATATATACGACACACGGAATTACATTCGTGATTTATTTTCTTCTTATGGACTGAGCTTTATATTGAGCAAAGCCGGGTCAACGCCAAATATGGCCGATCACAACACGTAACTAATATCTATTTCATGAAAAATACATAAATACTACACCAGATTCTATCAAGTACGTTCAAAATTACGACCAAACATGTGTTTTTTATGTATAAATTGTGTCAATTTTATATTCTGAGTGCTGTCTAAATCTAAAATATTATTTTCCTAGAAACCTAAAGCTCTTTCGCCTTTGCCATTTTCCTAATTAAGTATTATCAATGGTTATCAAAGTGACTAGATATCATAGACAAAATGTTCGATTAAAAAAAAACTTACTTGAAACAAGAATCCAGATAATTATCTAACATGTCCAATTGAAGGTCTTCCCAATCAGTGGGACTTAAGAGCAAAGAAGACAAGTCGTCTTCTGGCATCAAAGGCGGCGCTACAGGCTCCACAATAACATTTGCCCCTACATTTGTCATTTCAATATCGGGTAAAGGGAGATTGAATTCAGGCAAATGAAGTGTCACCGCTTGGCCTACATCCATATTGATGCACTCCATTTGTGGTATATTCGCAACAGCCGTCTTTTCTTCGGATACTTTCCTATCTATTTTCGCTTCTATTTTAGGCTCGTTTTTCTTCTTTTTATGGGGACGGTTTGATATACGTTTGGTTCCTTCCAAATGAGCCAGATCCAGTTTCCAGAATCCACCTTTACCCGGCTCGTGTTTAGAACGAGCAACCTTTACGAAAACTTTGTTCAGCGACAGATTGTGTCTAATAGAATTCTGGAAATAAAAATGGATATAAATTATTAACCCCATTGGGTGATTGTCCGGGTGACGTTTCCGGTCGCGTTCCCTTTTAAATTCATTCGTTAGAATTGTTTAATAATGCAAAGGAATTGATTTTGTTTATAAACAGACTATATATTAAAACTCTAACACATTACATGTGTTACATATTTTTATACATAACTCTGATATAAATATCCTTAATCTAATCTTTATTTATTAAACATAAATATGGATTTACTATATCCAGATCTAATAAGTTGTAATCTTATCAGATTTAACGCTTATTGGAATCAGTTTGGGGAACACTAACTACCGAATAAAAGATAATACCGACCTGCCAAGTGGGATCCGCGTTCCGATAGTACTTGAAGCTGTCACGAATCCAAGAATAGATCGCGGATAGTGTCATTTTATCATTATTATACCGCATGGCCATACAGATCAAAGTGCTGTAAGAATACGGAGGCTTCTTATCGCTATTCCTTTGATATTCCTCTTTGTTCTCCATGAAGTCTTTCTGGCACTTGGCTATAGTTTGGTTGAACTTCTGCAGCCTGGTATTCTGGGGCTGAACTTTCACCTGAGGATTCGGTGACATTGGCGGTATAGGAAATTGGGGCATTGCCATGATGTTGGTAATGTTTTGCAACCATGTTAGATTTGTCAGATCCGTCTCTGGTTCTTCTTCGACTATTTTGATCTGCTTTTGTTTCGCTTGGGTTTTCTTCGGTTGTACCGAAGTCTCTTTCGATCTCCGCGACTCCTCGTTATTGGCGGTATCAGGTTGTTCATAGACGTATTCAATTTCAACGGTATGCGAAGATTCTGGAACCGCCTCGTCCAAAGTGAAAAACCCGCACTGATCTCCCGAATCCCCGTAAAGATTCACGGAGGCGTCCAGCATGTCGCCAGACGCCGGGAAGAAGCTCGACGTTATATGCATCTTTTTGCATACCTAGAGCCAGAGGCTAGATCATCGTTATGCTGTTAGAGTGTAGCTATGAATGGTAGGTGGCGATCGATCGACCGTAGTGACGTCACGGTGGTCAGGGCGGTGGTAGGTGTGCGCTAGCCGGCGTCCCGACAACTAATGGTGTAATGTCAGGTGCGCGGGGTCCGTTGTGAACAGGTGTGCTGTACGATCGATATTTTTCCAACCGAAGAAGTCCAGCCCGCATTGCCTCTCGACAATTAGTCACGGTTATCAAGACGTGTGCTCGCTATCGGAGAAGCTGGTACTTCCTTGTTAGTGAACTTGATGTTCCAAACCATTTAACATTTAAAGCAATCTTTTAATTTGTTCGTACAGTCATAGCAATTATTACACGACAATCAGTATGACTCATTCCGAATAACGCTATTCATTTGAACTAATAGATTTCACGATGTTTCATTCGATATAATAGTAAAGGATTTCCTAAAATCGATTTGATTATTTGACAAGAACAAACAATGTCAAGCGCCCTTCAGCGAGCGGCAATTAAGGCAAGTGCTTGTTCAATGTCGATGTGAAATAGTTACCAGTGTTTTTATATCGTTAAAAACATCCCTATACACACTGATCACTACACAATACAATAGACTACCGAGCTATGAATATTTAAATAAAATAAAATACATTTATATATACATATATCAAGTTATACACCAAACTAGTCATCACTTGAAAAGTACAAAACAAAGTATTATCTTCTATTAAATGATATAAAGAATAGTAAGATTAAGTTTTTGTTTTTTTTAATTTAAATATAATTTCCTACGTCAGTAAATAGGTTTTATATAAATATTTTTATTCTATAACATAACTTTTTAAATTGTTATTATAATTTTCGCGCTCTTTTCACCCACACGTTAGCGGTATAGCAAGGTGTTCTCAGTGAAGCGTAACGTTCGTACCAGCCTGTAATCTACCCCTATATGTAATTGCAATAATGCATGTACCCTAATTTAAGGGACAGTCGGTTTTTAAGTGGTATACAAGTTAATTGTTTTTATTTAAGGAAAATAATGTACCTTATTGTGTATGTACACATGTATGTACATCTTATTTACGATAATAAGTATTTCTTTACTAGGCAAAATATGTCAAATATGTCAATAATAAAGATTTATTTATATTTGTTAATATTAAATAAATAAAAATCTTGAACTATACAAGAATATAAGTGTGAAATGAATCGTTTTTAATGATAGTTTTGAAACTAAAAATCTGTACAAAGTGAATGACCTGGGGTCATTAATCACATTGATGCCGACAACGAATATAAAGGAATAAACGCACAACCATAGATAAGAAATATATGTGGATGTATAGACGAAGACGATGTATTATGAGAAATATATTTTTTTATCTACATATTATAATAAAAAAGTTATATCTATTTACTTAATATTAGCTATGACTTACTTAGACATACGTATAGGTATAGTAGGTATTCTATATACCGTCTACAATTACTTAATGCAAAATAATTGAAAATTCGGTTAAAATGTAATAGATATGCGAGTATAATTAGAAATACTATTATGTACCTAATCAAATTCTATTATGTACTATGTATATTTTATTACTAAACATTAATTACCTAAAATAAATAAATTAAACAACTTTTTATCTTCTTAGTAGTGATCAATGTTTTGTTTTACTTTGCGACGTTAAAGTCACATTAAAGATTAAATTACATTGTTTTCAAACAATATAACGTATTTATACCTTAAAAAACTGCTTTACTTATCAAAATCATCTTTATAATTATTCTCATACGTAACTATTCAATCTATAAGTATCTAGTTAGAGACTTCTTTAACTAAGTATAGTTTTGTGGTAACCGAACGTTCCACTATTGAGCTATGGCCTTCATTAGAATATGCAAAACATTTGGAGCTTTGCCTATCATGCTGGTAATATATGTTATGTCTTCGTATTTATTACGATGACTAAGACACTTAAATTACTTAAAGAGTAATATTAACATTATAAACTATAATGATCGATTATTATCTTAAATACGAGTATTCAATTCTCTTCACTATACTAGATTTAAGTCAAAATTAAGTTGATAATTCTCGGTACCAATTTAAAGAAACGGCAAAATGTATTTTCGTAACAATATAAAATGTCAAAGTATTAAAGCGGGTGCCGTACTTAATGGCCGGTGATTATCCACCTAGTATGAGGCAATAAAATAAAATTATTAAATCGTATGGAACATATGTCGCAACACCTGTTCCCCTACCACGAGTTTCTATTTTAAAACGAAGTACAGGCAGTTTTAAATTTTTCATTTCTAAATTGTCATACATGACAGTATTACGAGAGTAATATATAAGAAGTGGCGCCGTACTAATTACAATATACTATAATGCTTAGAAATATTTTTATGACAGAATATAATTAATTTATTATACTGAACCATTGTAATTTTGTAATGGCAACATTTAGGTATCAACTTGTAATTGAAAACTATAAAATATACTGGCTTCAGCCATTTTATATGACATTCCTTCAAGTAACGCTGAACATTTACGAACGAATACGTCGTGAATGAAGTACTGGGAACTCTCTGTATTTAGTTTAATAGAACAAACTCATGGCAAACGTACTGAACAGTGTTACCCCAATCATGTCTAAGAGCGTTTTATTTCACGGTATTGCCTTTTATAAGGGGTAATATTCACTCAAACTAAAATACTTATTAGTTACATTTCTGGGAAGAAAAAAATTCTAATTATACTTTAACTAGTTTTATCCCGCGACTCCGACCTCGTGAACTTCGAAATTGACAGAAGAACGAAATATTTTATTAAGTGACATGTCGGATGAATGTACAAAGTGACGTCACTGTTATTGCATAATACAATAGTCATACTTTGAATCATGGAACTACACGAAATTCTATATTAAAATATATCCTATGTATCACTCTGATATCTAAGGTAAATCTCTGTAAAGTTTCATCAAAATCTATCAAGTAGTTTTAAAAATTAAAAAGCAACAAACATACTTCATACATCACACATTCATTGTCCCATACTTTCCCATTCATAATATTGGGATAAAAATAAAACGACTTATGAAATTCCAATATCATATTACGATTACACATAGAAAAGTATCAAAAAAATATTACGTATTGGACTTATTATAGTAATAAAATTTTATAATGACAGTTGACGGGTGTCAAATGTCAAATACTTACATTGACACTTTGTAAGCGTCATCTATTAAAGTTATTGGATAAATGGGACTTTTTCTTATATTTTAAATGACTTAAATATAACGATACAAGAGATTAATATTTTTTATGTTACTTAGCTTAGGTTACATATTATACAGGGTGACTGGTGAATTACTATCAATATTTAAAGAGAATACTCGGTACATGATTCTCATGTATATATCTTAATTTTAATACAAATCATGTATATATCTTAATTTTAATACAAATTCTATTTCACTTAATATATAAAAAAATTGTATTATAGACGTTTTAATGGCGGTTTTATAGATTATACAGGGTGACTGGTGAATTACTATCGATATTTGAGGACGTGATATTTGACGATCATATATGACAAAATAAAAATTAATATAACATAAATATTAATAAACTTCTAAGTAAAGTTAACCAAAAGTTATGTAATTAATTACGCATCGTATGAACACCCTACAGATTAGGTATACACACACACTCACACACGCGTGCTGATACAACACTACGCCACCGCACGCGTCCACACTTGGAACATTTGGAACGTGTCAACACTTTATTTATTTATACGGAAATTTGGTCAAAAATTAAGTACCTATTTTTTTTACATAATTCGAATGAGAATCATGTACCGAGTATTCTCCTTAAATATTGACAGTTATTCACCAGTCACCCTGTATATATGTATAAATCAAAAATAAGGATCTGAGATTAATTTCTGTATAATTAGTAAAAACAACAAATCAGTCAAGTTTTTCTTAGCTGTGACATTGGAACTATATGTAGATATTATATACTAAGACATTTTTTTCATATAAAAACTTATCATAGGATACACAGCTTTATATATAAATGTATTAAAGTCCAAAATCGCATGTTTTCATAGTAGCATCTCTAGAGCCACATCTCTGAGGTATTCTCCGTACCTCTCCTTCAACAGCTATGGTTTGATAGCGTTAATGAACCAATCAGCTGCATTGATAAGATTGTCCATTTCAACTGGCAGTGAGCTTAGAGCGTGGTTGTCTTCATATACCAAAACCCTGAAAAGATTTATAAAATTATTATTAAATCTTTATATATATAATTCTTCTGTGAGTGTGTATGTCACTGAAATTCTCTCAAAGGACTGGACCGATTTTAATGACATTTTTTGTGTGTGTTCAAGGGGATCTGGGAATGGTTTAGATTCACAGTCTTGTCCGCTGGACAATGTTTTTTTAATTAATTTTTAATTTATCAGTAGGTAGTTGTTGACACAAACTTTTTTTTTTACATTAGATTTGACAACTAACTAATATGTCAATCATTCTGTCCCACTTCAAAACACGGAGATTTATGGCTCTAATAGGTAAACTCCAAAAATATTAATAAAAAAACTTAACAGATATTTCTTGACTATAGGGCGATACGAAGTTTGCCGGGTCATCTAGTATATATGTATATATAGACAACGAATTTATTGTTTTTCTTAGATTTTAGCACTCATATAATATAAATAATGTTTTCCAAATATGAATTATAGTAGAAAGTGAGTTACAAGGATGTACAATTTCACTAATTTCAATTAAGACCCAACTGCTTAGTTAGCAAAGTGTCTGCAACGCCATCTAGAGGTTATAAGTTCAAACAAATCGTTTCCATACATTATACAGGGTGACTGGTAACGATATTTGAGGACGTGATATTTGACGATCATATATGACAAAATAAAAATTAATATAACATAAATATTAATAAACTTCTAAGTAAAGTTAACCAAAACTTATGTAATTAATTACGCATCGTGTGAACACCCTACAGATTAGGTATACACACACACACACACATACGCGTGCGGCGGCGTGGTGTTGTATCAGCACGTCGCCGCACGCGTCCACACTTGGAACACTTGGAACGTGTCCTCACTTTATTTATTTATACGGAAATTTGGTCAAAAATTAAGTACCTATTTTTTTTACATAATTCGAATGAGAATCATGTACCGAGTATTCTACTTAAATATTGATAGTAATTCACCAGTCACCCTGTATATGCATTTCAATTCATATATTACCTGGTAGGTACGCCTTTGGCTTTCAATTTCCTCGCAAACTCCAGTCCTTGGTAGTACGGAACCCGTTTGTCTTTTGTACCGAGCATGATCGCCGTTGGTATGATCACGTTATGTGAGTGTATTATTGGTGACGCTCGATGTAGTAATAGGAGGGTATCTTCAAATTCCATGCCACCTTCTATGTATTCGAATCCGGCTTCGATAGCACACCTATATGGAATAAAATTTTGATTCTTTTATATATAATTGAAAGAGTAAATAAGGATATTTTATATGGAAAATTATTTTTGTAGGGCTATGATGATTATTGACACAATCGTAGTATTAAAATGATGTATAAATGAATATAGCGTAGGATATTTTGTAGAAGAATGTATGTACTAAAACCTCGGGTTAGTCGTTTAAAGAACCAAAGAGTCAAATATATAATTAAAGGTATGCTAATTCGCGTATTACATACAATAGTTATAATTTGATTACCTTTATGTATCCAAATCACCAATAAAGAGCTACGTTAATAGAGATTAGTTTGCACGTATAACAATACAATAATTATATTTAAGAAGTCTTTGCAAGATGCGTTTAATTCAGGCGACTCACCCATCGGGATTATCGGCATAGCGGATTTTAGTGACAAAATTTATCAATGGATTTCTTAGGACCATAGCTTTGAAATCTCTTGGCATTCTCCCAGATAGGTGACTGGCAATGAAACCCCCATAACTTCCACCATATAGCAGGACATGGTCTATTTTGTATAACCCTTTTATGGTTTCGATTGCGAGGAGACAATCTTTTATGTCGTAGTCGCCAACATTTCCAATGAGACATCTGACATTTTTTTCACCAGAGCCGGTCGAACCGCGATAATTTATTCGGAGGCACGAAAAACCTATATATTGTATATTTTAATAATTACCCGCTTAATACAAAATGCCAAGTGCCCATTGTTGATATAATTCAAGTCAATTCCCTATTTGCGTTTCCTATATTGCCACCATGCGTATATGATTTAGAGCGGATGAGTCAAAGAAAATAATATTCCGGAAAAAATAAGATTTATAGAAGCGTGCGAACAAAAAAAACAAAGCGCAATCATAGTACTTCTGGCATATCTTCTGTAACTCACCAATCAGCGATGTCAGTAGTGTGATACATTGAAGTGAGGTCAATCACAGGATTCCTCATTACCGCAGCGTGGTAGAAGTCATAGAACAACCCGCTGAGATGCGCAACCAGGAACCCTCCATGGGAACCACCGTATAGCAACAGCTTCTTATCGTTCACTGGGAACATGTCTATAGCTTTGTCTGTAGCCAGCTTGCAATCGAGCACATCAGCTGTTCCTATACGGCTTGGCAAATAGCAGATCGAAGCGTTCCCAGTGCCGGCTGAACCGCGATAGTTTATTAACAGTGTAGCGAATCCTGTGAAATGGTTCAATGAGCTTTGTTTTTTTTTTTTGGTTACTTTGTAATAATTGCATATTGGTATGTGGTGGGTGATAATTTTTGTAAACAATGGACACTTAGCAAGGTAGATACATGTACGTAATGAAACTAATATTGTTGGGATTATAAGAGCTAATTCACATCTCGTCTTCGTGATCACGGTTGCTGAAAAGTAACGGAAACGTCACGAGTATGCAGTTTTTACTGTAGTAGAATACTCGCAGTGTAATCCGAAAAATATTAGTTTCATTGGAATGAATACAGGCGAAAGCTTTGATCTCTTAGATCATGCCATTTTTATTATTGCAAAATTATAACGTCGTCAAGATATGATAAATAAGTTTCATTATATATTATATATTTACCGATGAGATTGAAGAAGGCAGCTTCTAAGGAGTATGTGTTTGAGAAGGCGGAGTGAGGTCCACCGTGTGGCCACACTACTAGCGGATATACACCTTGTTGGTCCGGACCGAAGTACATCGCCGTGAACTTGGCTATATACATAAAAGAAACCTTTACAAATTTTCGTATATGTATATTATATCAACTGTATGTAATATAGGTTTGAAAGAATCTATTATGTAGAAAATGTATATGTAGGGAATTTCTAATGATACCGAAAAAGAACTAAATGTACAAATATGGACAATTAGTGAAGAGGAATTTGATTGAATTATTAGGACAATTCATATACTATATACAGGGTGACTGGTGAATTACTATCGATACTTGACGATCATATATGACAAAATAAAAATTAATATAACATAAATATTAATAAACTTCTAAGTAAAGTTAACCAAAAGTTGTGTAATTAATTACGCATCGTGTGAACACCCTACAGATTAGGTATACACACACACACACACACGCGTCGGCGGCGTGGTGTTGTATCAGCACGCCGTCGCACGCGTCCACACTTGGAACACTTGGAACGTGTCCACACTTTATTTATTTATACGGAAATTTTGTCAAAAATTAAGTACCTTATTTTTTTTTACATAATTCGAATGAGAATCATGTACCGAGTATTCTCCTTAAATATTGATAGTAATTCACCAGTCACCCTGTATAGTAATGTTTTTGATTTTATACAATTAACGGGTTTGAGATATACGAAAAAGTCGAATAAATAACTAACCATCCATTTTTACTTCTTACATTAGACTTTTCTCACATATTTACTCAAAGATTTTACATTTAGTGACACACTACACTCAACAAAACTATTACATTAAAAATTATATTTCTTTCAGTTATTTGTTTGTAGATAACACAATTCAGGTTTACACTTGATTGTGGATAGATGGCGCTTCTGACATTATAATTGTGAGTGTCATTGCAGTAGATAAAACAAAAGGTTTTGAATATAGAGGTGTTTAAATAAAAGTTATTATATTGTAATTCAGTGATAGAGGAATCGACAAATCCCTACTAATATTATAAATGCGAAAGTAACTCTGTCTGTCTGTCTGTCTGTCTGTTACGCTTTCACGCCTAAACCACTGAACTGATTTTAATGAAATTTGGTAGAGATATAGAGTTGATCTTGAGAAAGAACAAAGGATAGTTTTTATCCCAGACTTTTGAGAGGTTCTCTTGGAAACGCGATATAACCGAACTTCACGCGGGCGAAGCTGCGGGCGGAAAGCTAGTAAATTAATAAACTTTAAATGTCGTTTTATATTTCAGGTAGGATGGTATATTGGTTCTCTTTTGTATTTGTCGTTAAGTGTTAAACTTATGTTAAATAAAATCTTTGATATTTCAGAACAATACAACTAATTTAATTTAACGATTCCTAGATTTTCTGACGAATTGTCTTATATATAAAAAAATGTATTAAAATGCTACTCACAGACTTTGTCATCGTTGTTATGGTCCAAGTGCATGTACTGTATTTTCCCTTGTGATATTGAACTCGGCACAGTATGTGGTTCACTCACTGACACCCATTCGATGCCAGCCTCATGACCTGCCAGTGGAAGTCTTGCGACGAATAACTGGAATTTCATTGTCAAGGTCATATTATAAGGTCATCAAGGTAAATCTTATAATCAAACACACGCTTATAATTGTATCTTCCCCTTTACGAGTTCATGGATATTTGAATATACAGACTAACATAAAAAAATACAAAACTAGCTGCGCCCCGCAGATTTCCGAGATTTCCGGGATGTAAAGTAGTCTATGTGTTAATCCTGGACGTCAGCTTTCTGTATACACAATTTTATCAAAATAGGTTCAGCCGTTTGAGCGGGAAGAAGTAACAAACATACACACACACTCACAAACTTTCGCAATTATAATATTAGTAGGATTAATGAATAGGCAGGTTAAAGGTTAACTTTAAGAAATTTCAGTTTGCTCAAATGGATAGTTTTTTTGGAAGGTAACTCAATTTTTACCTGCGATGGTGTTCTTAAGTTTGAAAACGTAGCCAGCACTATATCGGATCTAACACACAACACAGTTGTAGACCCTGGGCCATCCTTTTTGTGAGATATATCTACCATGTAACCGGTGTCTGTAATAAGAATATAATAAAACTTGAATCAAATTAAGATATATTTAGTTATAATTTAAAAGGATAATAAGTGTAGCGTGAAATAAATTTTGGACATACGAAAAGAAATAATGCCCACAAAATTAAAGACAGATTTTAGATTTATATGCGAACGTTCTTACAATATTATATTGCATTCCCAAAGAGGGTTGATGTCAGGCAGGCGGCCGGTCGTAAAAAACTATTAGCCAAAACGATTTACATCAAGTAATTTTTAGGTAAAGGAACAAGGAAATTGCCAGGTAGGAGAGTTCTTACAATATTTCGGCCATACGAAAAGATTGAAAAGATTAGTGCTCAAATAATAAATATTGTTATATGTATTCTCAGCAGAATTTAATATAATGAATATTTAACTTACCAACATGTACTATATAACTCCTAATTTCATTTTGCTGCGGGGTGCTGAATATAATTCTTTCGTCGTCAGTTTCCAATCCTTGTTTGTTTTTGACAAAACACTTTGAAGGTAGTGCCTGGCAGAAAATTCCGTAGAAAAACTCGTTGGATATTTTCCTCTCAGTTTCGACTAGATCCGTTATGATCGTTGGTTCAACTTCATCATTCATCGACTGTATCTGCATAAATTATAAAAAAAAATTAAACCAGTGTGCTTTAAGACTACAAGATTGAAGTAAAACTTCTTTCGCTCCATCTATATGTAATATGTATATGTATAATGTTTATATATGTATAATACAGACATGTATATGAAACAATAGACATATGATATGAGAAATAAGATACATATGTTTCAGAATGAAGATTAGAAAGATATCTAGAGAAAACTAAAAACGAAGTACTGACTGTGATATAAATATATATATTTATATTTCATGTACTGGCTATGAAAGGAAGCGAGACAAAAAATGTTTGCGTGCACTGCTCTCTCCCTTACCCCTACGGTAATATACGAACATTAACACTCTATCTATCTTCCCTAACTCATATCTCCCTCTCACTTTCGTTCGCCTCTCCCGATCACACTTTTCGTAACGCTTTCATTACGCATTCACCAGCTTACTCCTAACTCCAGCGTGCGTAATTAAGTATTACTTCAAAAATATTTTAACAAACAAATTTTAATGAAAACTGAATGATGAGTACAAAACTCCTGTCAGTTGTGAACAATTTTTGTTAGTATAATACGATATGTTTAATGTAGTCTCTGATGTTAAACTGCTCTGTGGTGTGTTTTGTATCTAACCTGTTGGTGCGTCAGTCCCACGAGTTGATGACATGAGTGATGAGGTCCCCCAGCATACCTCTGTAGCCACACTACTCTGTGAGGTGACACTCGCGGTGATCGCACCGAGTACGTCTCTTTGCTTAACTTTTCTGCAAAAAGATTATAGTTTGGTCTTTTCTTTTCTAAAGAGTTCAATATATCAATGATGGTGCTTATAAGTACTAAATACTATAACTTACTTAGTACTCCGTCTAGCGTAAGACTGAATACGTAGCTAGGTCGGTTAGTACAATAGATAAGACCTAGACGTCTAAGCCCAGCCTCCCAGGCTACCCCCACCACACTCTTGCCGTCAGGAGCGAACCGTACCTGTAACGTAATAATTTAAATGATTATAGTTTCTCTTTAATTAAAAATACTTTCACATAAATGTAGTAAAATGTTCTTTTTTTATGTGAAAGGTGGCAAACGAGCAGATGGCCTACTTGATGGAAGGTAGTTACCATCGCCCATGGACATCCGCAACATCTTTGTTGCGGATGCGTTGCCAACTTTGTTTTTTGGGAATAGGGAGGGGTGGGAATAAGGAGAGGTAAGAAGTGCAGAAATAGGCAACCGACTCTGTCACTCATCGGTCGAAACGCAGACATTAAAGGCTACTTCACGCCGATCTTCTGTGAGAGGGTGATACTTCCCCGGTCGAGCCAGCCCATGTTCGAGCTGTAACTAACCACAGCTAGTCTCTACCACCTATATGTTCGGCTGCCAGTTACTTTATTTTTATCATAAGCTTTTCTCACCTGGCCAGGGCACCAATCATCTGGTAGATTATCCAATACAGTGAATGTTTCACTATCAACATCGCAGACCACAATGACCCCTTGTATTTTGGAAGTCAATTGTTCACCCCAATCTTCTTTATACAAATGCTCCTCCCCCTATAAATAATTACGTTTATAACTGGTATTTTACTTGAAAGAATATCTGATAAAAATAAACATACAGGTACTGTTTTATCATCAGGTTTGTCAGCTTTTGGCTTCCGTTTAATGTAAGGCTCAGATTTCTTAGCCTTCTTCTCCGCTACATAAACAATTTTCTTTTCATCGGAAGACCAATCGAGGCAGCCGAATTCGGCTAGAAATTAAACATTTAGCGGAATAAAGAAATGGTATAACAAACAATGTATAGGCAAAAATCTTTGTTAGATAATAAGAAACTTTAGTGATGGATATTTTAAAATCATGTAAATATATTTCTTTAATTATTATTAATAAGTAGCTCAGCAATAGAAGTGGTTCTAGGACAAGTTTTGGCTACAGGCTAGTGTGGACCTCTTTTATTTTATTAATACAGACTAATGAGGATGTATTTAATGCTACTGTTAAAATTTACTGCTGACCAGCTACAACAAGACGTCTACGTGTACTTAAAACCTACAAAAAATAGCCAGCTACAAAATAAAAGCAAGAAAATCGCCTTATAGACTTAAAATATCATAATACAAGCTTTTAAGTCGAATTTATAAGCCAAAAACCCTCCTTAAAGTCATTAAAAATACTGTACAAGATGCTATTAAATATACTGTCTATTGGCCTTAAAGCATTGAAAGTTTTCCAACAAACCATTATTTGTTTTTCCAAGGTCACTTTCCATTACATATCAAAATGTATAGATATCTGTTAAGAATTGAAGCAAATCATAACTACCTATGAACATCCAAGTATTTCGTGGGGAGATATCAATGGCTCATGGGAAACTCATTAAAACAAATATATATATGTATATATAAGAAGATCCTTATAACACCATTCAAAAACTCACAGTCTGCATAAACATCTCCATGTAAGTCAAGTGCGGTGAGGTCGATGGAACGGCTAAGACAATTCTCTGACCAAATTTCCAAAAAGAACTTCTTTTTATAATCCTTTTCATCCTTTTCCTCAGATATAACAGCTTTGTAACTCTCATTCGGTGAATACGCAACAAGCAATCTTGAAATAAAAATATTAAACATATATATGTATAACATAGTAAAACAATGCATATTTTAATGAAAGAAATTATGGATTCCAATTAAAACGATTACTTCTACTTACTCATTACTAACATCCACTCCAAAGTAACTTGTATTGGTCACATCTAAGTTTTTATCCATCAAATATTCAATCATATATCTCGTGTTTTTGCCTTTGTCAATATTACGTACCGACCACTTCGATATAATCCTATTCCCATTAGCATTTAATGTTCCCCCTACTACGGATGGGATTTTACTAAGAGTCTTGTAGGCTTTTATCACACTTTCCATCTGAAAAGTTATTATTTTGCACACAAAAAGTATACAGGCATAATTCTTGCATCAAAACTCTAAAGTTCTCTTTAAATACTGTATACTTACATGAGTACCCATTCTCCAGACATCCCCCATCTTACCCTACAAGAATATATAATTATTATTCATTATTGAGTGCCATATAAATTATAATTCATATATAATAATTCATAATTGATACTTGCATGGCCCTATTACCAAAGTAATTAAAAATACAAATATTTTCATATGATACTTCCGTTTCTGTTCAGTGGATGGAGGTATCATAATAATTATTATTTAAAAATAGTGAAAATTTAATATAAGGAAAATTAATTTTTAAGTCATATAATAGCATTGTAACATTTACATGTTTATTATTCAAAAAATTACATATCAGCAAAAAATACAGTAATATGTAACAAAATGCACAATAGCATTTCACAAAAAGATAAGGCATTTGTATATTTTTTCTTTTTTTTAGTTTATGAATATGTTAACTTTACTAATCAAATATTTTGTAAATACCTACTAATAATATCTTTTTGTTTTTCATATAAATGGAAAAAATCGAAAACAAACACAGGCATACAGTGAAATATGTTTACTGTTTATTACAATAGAAAAGAAAAAAAAAGAAATTTAGAACAAAGGTTTGATAACAAATTAAAGTGATTATATATAAACTTTATGGCGATGTTAATATTAACACAAACATTAACGAAGAAACTTATTTTATCTATTTCAAAGTCAATAATGACTGAGCGATTAAACTGCATATTTTCATAGAACTAAAAAGAGGTTTTATATGTTGTTTCAGCAAGAGTATATAATTTTTAAATACATCTATTATTTATCCAGTTACCTTCTTTGCAGTTTATTCGAAACACAATAAACTTTATGAAAAATTTCTTCAATTGATGTTTATTTTTAAACAACCACGTATACCCCCGACCAGGGTTGTTACAGACTGAAAGTTATGAAAATTTTGATAAGACAATAAAGAAAGTCATTGCTCCGTTTTGAAATCTCTAATTGTCAACAGTTGATATTTGACATTAGAGTTAAAAGTTATTTTAGTATTTGACTTATGACATAGAAAAAAAATAAACGTTTTTTGTATTTTCCTTAAATAAAATGATATAATTATTTCTAAATATTATATTTTTCATCCTGTCCTACACTCTGATTTAATCCTATTACTCTACTTCCTTAGATTGAAGTAATGACAGCTATTGTTGTGAGATTTCTTAAAATTTAGTTGATTTTTTTTTTCTCATAATCTTTAAAATCTCAAATGTTCGAAATCTCTCTAGTACTTAGTTATGTAATGCAGATGGAGGTAGTGCGGGCTTCATACTGTGGGTAGATGGTGTATACTGTAGTCAAGATTTTACGGTTCTTGGTAAACGTTGTTGGTGATGGCGACATATAAATTCTCAGTGACGATAATTCAATATGTAGTATTCCAGTACGTACAGATGTGATTATAATATTTGAGGTGACAAGCATGCAAAGAGCACATTATTTGGTATCAACATTTGATCGACAATCTACTACATTTGATTATTAATTTATGATGAATAAATTGTTTCCTTACATCTATGTACCTCCAATATACTTAACAGAGCCTACACAGTTCATTTAAAATAAACCGAATTTACGTATATTTTCTCCTTCATAATTTTTTGGTTGTATTGCACATGACATTTATGAAAATATATTAATTCTTTAAATTAAAAATGTATTTCAAACAAGAAATATATAGAATATAAAATCGAATTCGGAACATAATCTAATTAAACGTTAATTCGAGGATACATACCCAAGATTGTTAAAATAGAACTGGTACAATTATCTACTAGTGTCAATGATGAATGGTGTTGACAGTTAAACACCGTTGTTTGACAATTGACAGTCAACATTTGACAAACACAAACGACAAAGTTTGTAACTTGTACTTATAAACTTAAAAGTTGAAATAATGCAAATTGAATATATTGTAACTTAGAAATTTTTACACCACCATCGCAGAGTATGTCTTGTACCAAATCAATCAAATTATATGTATATAATTACTTATTTAAGTTATAAATCAAATCAAAATGCATAGTCAGCTTGAAATTCGAAGCGGCTTTAAAACCATAACAAGTTAAAGAATATACAATAAACATTGAATGAACATTATTTTTTATTTTCAGAAAATGAACCCTACCGTCCTGGTTGAAAGAATTAAAATATTTAAATGCCAAAAATGTAATTACGCTATCGATAACAAAATTGAATTTTTGAAGCATATTTTAATACATGTAAGTATTATTAATATGTAAATTTTCTTTATTTATCACGTTAATTGTTAAATACTTTCTAATTTACCATCATTACAGCTGAGCACTAATTGTTATATAAAGTTAAAAAGGGAGAAAATATTCAAGTGTGCAGAATGCCATAGAATATTTGTTTGTGAACATGATTATGCCCTTCATAAACTAATACATATTAAAGAAGAAATCAGGTACAGTATATATGTATGTCAAAATATACATTAGTTGAACTATTGTTATAACAGATTTGATTGATTCATCAATGTTTGTTTTTCCAACATTGCTCAACAAGAAACATAAAAATCCCGTACTTTACTTACTATGTAATTTATAAATATTATTCAGGTTAAAGTTTTCAATGTAATGTGTCTGGACTATTATAAAGTAATTTATTAAAATACTTTTACATCTGTATAACTTGAGAGTTCATACATTCATGAATGATTTTTTTCTAGGTCACGACAAAAAGCAGATTCCGTATACAATCCAAAATACATTAAGAGATTTAAGTGTGAAATATGCGGCTTAAAGTTTGTTGAGAGTAGCACATTGAATGTTCATAAAATTTTACATGATCCATTCCCACACATTTGCTTCTGTGGCATCGGTTATTACAAAAAAGTTGATCTGAGAGCTCATATAAATCTTGTTCATCCGGAATACAAAGAAATTGAGACAAACAATAACAATATTGAAAGACCAAATAAAGGTATAAGGACAAAGAAAAATAGGAAACAGGAATATAAAATGAAAATACAGCTGAAATCATCTAGACATTACAAATGTAAGCATTGCTTGGAAAGTTTTATGGATAGAAAATATTATCAGGAACATCTGAAAACTCATATTGAAATACCATATGAATGTTCAAAATGTTATGAACGATTTGATACACAAGAGATGTTAAATTTGCACATGGGCTTGCACACACTCTCATGCAATTTGTGCAACAAGAAATTCATCAGCAGATACAACACATATTTGCACTTAAACCTCCACACCTCAGAATTCAAATGCCATATATGCCACAAGAACTTAAGAAGCGAATATTACTTGGACATACATATTAAAATACACCAAGGCATTATAAATTTCAAATGCACTTATTGTGGGAAAGAATGCTATAGTAAAGTAGCCAAAGCCTTGCATGAGATAACACATACTAAAGAGAAGCCGTATACTTGTACGTATTGCAATAAACCATTTGGTGACCCATCAGCTCTGACACGTCACAAACGTATACACACAGGTGATAAAATCTACAAGTGTGCTAAATGTCCAAAAGCCTTCACCGATATCAGCGGACTAAGAGGTCACGAAACCTCACACACTAATGTAAGATACAAATGCGAAATATGTGAGAAATCCTTTATATATAAGAATAATTTAACAAAACATTTGCTAGGTGTACACAGTGATTTACGGAAATATGAATGCCATTACTGCGGCAACAAATTTAATTTGAAGATGTATGTGGCATCACATATACAGCGTATGCACAGAAACCTATTTTAATAATTATATATATAATAAATATATGTTAACCAATCTCAATGTATATATTGATTAATGAATAAATAGAATACTTAATTTTTACCTCACAAAAAGATCTGTTGGCCATGTATGTTTACCTTATAAGAGATTTATAATAAAATAAAAATGACTATAGTATTTGAGTGTTAAATTACATATATTTTGTTGAATAACATTTATAAAAAAACGAGAAACTTACACAACTCAAAGCTTTCCTTTAAAAATGTTTAAAATATAATATTAAAAAAAATTCTACACCTGCGTAAAAATTGTTAAAATATATTTAAATTCTTTCCATTTTAGATTCCATGTATATTTTTAATTTATAGATATTTATATTGTGATTATATTCATTTATTAGTCTATAAAATAAATGTGATTCCTTAATTATTGAGACTCTTATTGTGAAATAAGGATATTAAAATTAGATATTTTTATTTCCTGCACTGTATTTAACTGAAAATATCCAGCTTAGACTACATTTTAATTAAATATCATAAAGCCCTACTGAAAAAAAGCATATACACATTCATTCAAGAAAATTAAATTTTAAATACTCATTAATCATAAATTATTTTCTATTTGGTTTGTCAGCGACCAGCGTCTTTAAGACGATAGAATTGTGAATCAAAATAAGTCATGCCTGCAATTAATTGTTGTTTCCATGCTCATCATTGTTATTCCAAAAAAAAAAAACATACAATTTAGTATTTCAGTTGCTTTTCATCTAAATACAAATCAAATAAACTTTCGTACTTATAATATTAGTGGTAAATAAATAATTAAAAGTCAGTGGTGGCCTAGTTGTTAAAGGGCCCGCCTCTCATGCACGAGGGCGCGGGTTCGATCCTGGCAAGTACCAATGTGATTTTTCCAAGTCATAGAGGGTTGATGGCGGTCTTAAAAATAATTAGCCAAAACTATTTACAACATGTAAGGCAGGTCCTGGCTAAAGCTGGGAAAATTGCCAGGTAGAAGAATAAGAATAAATTATAATTAAAGTTTTTATACATTTTCTAAAGCCCAAGTGATAAGTTAAATAAGAGTCAAATTTCAGAATCTCTCATTTAGATACACTTACGAGACTCGTATTGAAAAGAAATAAGGTTTAAATTTCAATTACAATTAAAAGTAGTTCACGAATCAATTACACGTCTAATTGATTGTTTCCTTCATTTTTTACATCGATTAACAGTATCAGTAGAAAATTTAATAATGTAATAGGAAGATGTAATATTACAATATCATTCACTATTATTAGATATTCGAGTACAATTTTAATGAATCGAAGATAGATAGATGTCACTGTACCAAAAACATTTACCCCAATATATATAAGCCCCTAGCAACTAGCAACTAAGCCTAATATATTTTATCGTAAATAAGCACTGCGTCGCTTTGCCGCGCCGGTCAATACGCGCGGCGCGCGCGTACCGTGCGCCGCGCGCGTCACACGACACACACGCCCCGCTGCCAACGTGCCGTTTTAATTTAGTTGTAACTAGTTCGTAATATTTACAATTAATCTATTTAATATTTACATTATATTATTTAGATTTTAATTAAAGTGCTTCCGAGGTATAGATACAGTAAATTCGTGTATATTTTTTTTTATATTTGACATATTGTAAAGCGTGTTTTACACTGATTTTAAGAATATTCAAAGAGTCACTGATATATTTTTTACAAGTTTGTACGGTTTTATCTTTACGAGACGTACAAAATGAATGAAATAGATCTGATAAAAGAGGTTGAAAGACGTCCGATACTGTACGATAAGTCAGTGAGTGGTTTTAATAAAACAAAACTAAGGGATGACGCTTGGAAAGAAGTGCAAGAGGCTCTTAACGTGTCGGGTAAGCTTATACAAACACTACAATACTATTTTTTTTATTAATAATAACTGCTTTTAAGCACCGTATTAGACGTATTAAGGTATTTCGTATTCAAAAAAGAATTACGATAACTTCAACAACAAATGATTATAGTTTATTTTAATACAAATCGTGTTATTGTGACATTAAAAACTTTTTTTATAATATTAAAAACTTTTTTGATAAATTTTCTTTTCAATGTTCAAGATTTCATTGAATAGAAGAATAAAAATAGCACGATCCGTACAAGCTAATCCTAATGTAGTGATGATAAAATTGTAAGCCCTATTATAATTCAAATGACAAAAAAATCAAGGAAGTTTTTAAAATATAAATATGTAAATTCCAGTTTAAACAAAAAACTCAAAGGCACATTACATTTACTGGTTTTTTTTAATTATCTTTTGTAATTCCATATTTCTATAGAGGACAATTTACACATGATATTATGTTCAAAAGTTTTCACTTTAAATTTTCTTTAAAATAATTCAAGCATCTTCTTTATCGAAATGATTTATTTATTTAAAAGTGAAATAAGAATATTGCTTTAATACATTCCTTTGCTGTAACTGTTTGTAATATTAATTTCACTGCGATTTAAATTTGGAATCCTTATAAAATGTTACAAGATAAAAAAAAAACAAAAACTTTTTCCAATAAAGAGGTATTATATTTAACAATTGTAATTACAGAAGCGGAATGCAAGAAGCGGTGGCGTTCATTGAGAGATTCTTTTATCAAATTGCAAAGGACCCACGGCGGGAAAACTCGCTGGCCTTATTTACACGCCATGCGGTTCCTGTTACCTCACGTCGAACCAAAGAATGATGCACAGTGAGTTATTACTTATACTGTAATTTTGTTTGTTTAAAGTAATAAAATGAAATTAATTAAGTATATGTAAATTTCAAATAATCAACTGTAACATTTATGTGGTATATGTTGAAATGAAAAAATGGGGAAATTAACAGATGTATAAAGTCTGAAGAAAATTTCGATCGGAAATTTCGACCTTACTATTTACTTAATTTTTTGAAAAACGATTAATCTACAAAATTATAACACCGTTTTTTTATTACGAAAATTTATTTCATAATCAGTCGTAGACAATTTTTAGTTCATAAATATTTTTATACGTATTGCATATTTGTAAATGTCTTCTAAATTCAGAACGAAACGAGAAACTTCGGATTCGGAACCGGAAGAGGAAATACGTCACCGTCCTGGTCATTCGCTGCCGGATCTATCATATCAGGATTCCCGACCGCTTGATGAAGACGAAGACTCGCAACCGGCGAAGAAGATGAGACTCAATTCCACAGAGGACGATCCGTGTCATTGCAACCGAACAGATCCAGACGAACTGTTCCTATTAAGCTGCGCGCCGACATTAAAACGGCTCAATTCCAAGCAAAACGCCGTAGCTAGACTGAAAATCCAACAAGTCTTATACGAAGCGGAGTTCGGGAGTCAAATGGAGCTTCCATACGTAACGCCCGCCAGCGACTGCGGCTACGAAAACACTGACAATTCCGCCGAATAATCCGCTTTATAATGACGTCCATATTCAAAATGGTGTCCAAGCAACAGCTGAGTGCTGACATCTTAGATTATTGACCAATAGTATTATTATCTGTCAGTTTAAATAATTTTAATTTTCGTTAATTATTAAAGTAATGAAATGAATTAATAATAGTTATTATGAGTAAATCTCGTACTAGGGATTCCGAGTTCATAGTGTACCAAACACTTAATGTTTTAAAGTTTTTTAAAGATAGAATTAGTTTACAAAGTCGACCTCATTACTATGGTATAAGTATTATTTTTTATTTATTGTTTTATAAGTATAGTATTGTCCATTTACAAGATTTCGTAAGAATTTAAAGCTTCCACACGTTTTGGGCTAGAATAATTGTAACAATTAGAGTAAATAGTTTTTATGTCAACCTTACAATTATTGAATTGTAATAACCCTAGTCTTAAATTATTTTTTTTGCTCTTAGTTTTCAGTTTTTTGACTAGAGTGAAGACAATATAATTAACCAGTAGCCATTTAAATAAAACTAATATCTTTTTTTACCAATATATTTTATTGTTTAGACCATATAATACTCAAGACGTTTCGGTTACTTTGCAGCAACCGTGATCACTGGCATAAGAGATACGAGTTCAATGAGTTGACTCAATAATAAAATAAGGCGAAGTGATCCGAAAAATGTATTAGTTTTACTTAAATGAATATTGCCAAAGTCCTTGATCTCATTAAGTTTACAGGTTTAATAATAATAGTACTTTAGTACGTCATGTTACTATTTATTTATTTTAATTAGTGATAAGAAAATATTAAATTGCAATATGTTAATTTTTCTATCAACGCCATCTATTGACGAATAAGTTAAATGCGTTAAATGCACCGATGTATTATGCACTTTACGAAGATAAACGAAGTACGAAGATGTACGAAGATATGTAAAATGTAATACTTAAATACATTATGATGAAATTATGTTTCTTGAAAAGTTCTTGAAAAGTTTATTTAAATGAACGTAAAGATCAAAAGTAAAGTGCCGTCTCCTATAACATTATAGTACATATTTTAATTAATATAAATAGGAATTTAATATAAATAGAAATTTTAGTTTCATTTCAAATATTTAATACCGGTTTTTATTACAATTATTATTGTAAGATACTTTAATTTATAATTAAAAATCTATTGATTATTTCGTGTTTGACTAATGCTCTGCGTTTGATGTTATTTTATCTAGTCGTTATTAAGTTCAGATTAAAATAAAGCAATACCTATATATTAACTCCTGTGAAAATTTATGCACTTTTCAAAGAGTTCTGTTTTCTTATTTTGGCAATATTAAAACCTCTTTGGTGTTTTTGAACGAACAAAGATTATTGTTAAAAAGACAACGACCATTATGTTTCATATGATGTTAGTTTTACGTAATTCCATTGTAATACTTTCTCTGTAAGGGTTAATACAACTTTCTAATGATTTGTTGTGCTAATTTTTTAAGCTAGCCCATATGCTTATAATAATAAACCGTGCTATTTGAAACCTTAAGTAATCCTAATAAAACTCAATTTGTTATGGCGATGCAATAAGAATTTATGTAATGTTCACATTCCAATTATACAATTGATTGCAATTAAATAATTAAATCGTGAATATTTTATTATCGTCATAATTTATTCTTTTTTCCTTCCATTTTATTAATAAATTTCAAAATATAAAACACTAAGGGTATGTTTTTACAAAAAGAGTATTAAGACACCACTGACAGACGGTAAAGGAAAACATCGTTAGGAAACCTGGACTTATATGTTCCAATTATAAGTTTGAAAATTTTAACCCATCTTGAACAAGCGTGATGATTAATGCTCAAATCTTCTCCATGCGTGAAAAGGCCTTTGCTCAGCAGTGGTCTCCGATAGGCTGATAATGATGATATATCTTTTTAAACATTGGTTTCAATATTCAAGATGAGGAGAGTCGCTTATGTCGTATATATGTTTAGGCATGAGATATACGAACTCCTCCAACTCATTATAATGGGAAAAGTCGCCAGAAGAAGTGTCGATCGAAGAAAAGTCAGGGCTACGAAACTTCAGAGAGTGGACTGGAATTGCGAGTAGTGCCCACCTTTTCCACCTTGCAAAAGACAGAGAAAAGTATCGCATACTTGACTAACTGCCAACCTTCGCTAGTCGAAGAGGCATCTTAGGCACCTATATATATATATATATATATATATATATATATATATATATATATATATATATATATATATAGATTGAAATTAAATTACATTTAGCAATGAATATGTCGTTGAAAATCATTTAGATTCATTATAATGTACATACATGGTTTCATTAGGAATGAAGACAAGGTAAAAAAATGGATCAATATGATAATTGTAGTTTTTTTATTATCATTGAGTTTTTATTTAAGAATCAACTTGGTCTTGTGTTTTGTCGTATGGATTTTAGTTGTAAAGAAGTGCTACTAATATTTATATTATTTTATACGTACTTACGTGTTATAAGGAGACGAGTTTAATTAAGACTTACCTTTTATTGAGGAATATATTTTAAGGAAATATTAAAAGTTTTCTTTTATGAAAGTTTTGGTTATAAAAAAATAAGTGAAACATTTTGTATGATTGATTTTTTATACTGAGGATACCTTAGTACTTTTTCTGATTTAAAAATAGTTGTAACTAATTTTAGGTGACTTATAAACTACTGTTTTATGTACAGTTTATTATTTAAACCAGTATTCAAGTAGATAACGTCTCGTATATTAAAGTTTCCTAACCACAAGTTTTGCAATGTCGCGTCGGTCTTGAAACGTCTTTTTTTCAGTTTCGGATTCATAAAACTATTAACTACGTTGATCCTGTGTATTTATTTGTGAGAAACTACAAAACTATTCAGTACAACAACGCAAACTTGTGGTAAAATTGTGGTACTCATGAAGTAAAACGGTTTCCAGCAATCCTATGTAAATAAAGAAAACAACTTATCATATGTCAATGGATTAAATAAATAAATGCATGGATAATTTATAAGTAATTTATACATGAATTCAAATATATGAATTATTTTAAATAATAATTTAACAGAAAAAAGTTTTTCCTAACGAAACAATTGTTTATTTGACCTTCATCACATTGCATTATAATTAAGTGTTCACAATTAATGGCACTCATATGTTGTTAGGTACCTATTATTAATTAAAACAAAGTTTTTATTTATAATTTCTAACACAGAAAACGAAATAAAAAATGTATAAACATTCGTTCTGAAAACTGTAATTTTTTTTTGACAGAACTCAAGTTCGGAAACGAGAAATTTAATTTCAGTCTCGTTACATATCTATTTAATTATAAATTTAGATCTTTTTAAGTACATAATAAAAAATAATGCTCGTACAGCGATGTAGTGCAATGTACATGACGGATAATAATAATTAATTAATTGTTCAATCCCAGAACTGCAACGACCTATGTAGCTGACTGCAATAATATTATGAATGTAATTAAAATATCACTTTATTTCTTACAATGAAATATACATATTTGTTATACAAGAGTAACCGTTGGAATTATTCCCGGACGTTCGTAAAGCGTCAGATCTTTTCCATACTTCTGTAACAGTTCTAAGACCACCCCATTGGTCCAGCCGAAGCCGTCTTGAACCACGTACTCCCCACCACCACCCTCGTGGCCTGGATTCACTGCGCTATACTTCTCGAACATTTTCTGCCAATTATTATAGCCTATGTAATTTGATCGTATCCATACACCCGCTAGCTCCTTCGCCAACTTTGATGCTTCTATATTTCCACTGGTGTTTAAACCACCGATTAAGATACTCTGCATTGGAGGCCAAGCATTCGGAAAGTCCCATTGTTCGCCCGAATGTAGTATGGAAGATGGGACGCCGCCGGGGAAGTTAAGAGCGCCGGTTGATTTGAGATAATTAATGAACCGCAGAGCATATTTATCAACTTTCGTCTCATTGATAACCTTAGTCCATAGCGGAGTAGCGCAGCTTGGATAGAAATGTTTCCTAGGAGAGCCAGATTGAATATCATAGTCGTACCACACTCCATCTGCCTCATGATACATGATGTTCTCGATTGCGCTTCTCCAATACTTGGCTAGGCTCCACCATTTCTGTGCCTCTCGCCTGTGTTTCAAAGTATTACGGAGATCGCCGACGGTTTGCAAAGCACCAGCGAATATGGCATTCAAATCGACTGGCAGGATCCTTGACGCGTGGACGTCCGTCAAGTTTCCGATTACTCCACTGGCCGATATGAACCAGCGTGATGAGAAGTCCCAGCCGCTTTCGGCAGCGCTCTTGATTTCCATATAAAAATCATCTCGTCTGTCTTCATTAGGGAATATTCGGGAGTTCGTGTAGTCTTCGTAATATGATTCCGGACGAGGACCTCTGTCTTTCTTATCCGCTAGATATCTTAGTAGCATATACTTATTACCATTGATTTCGACGGTCACTTTCTTATTGTCCAACCAATAGTGTAGTTCTTTTTCCACTGTACTAATATGTTGTTCTATCCACGCTAGATCCCCTGTTGCTTCGTAGTAGCTGGCCACCATGGCTGCTAGTAACGGTGGTTGACTTCTCCCTAAGTAATACACACGACTCCCATTCGGTACATAACCATATTTCCCCACTAAATGCAACAAATTCTCTATCATACCTCTAGCTGTTTTAGTCATGTTGCTGATCATAAGACCACGTATCGTCCAAAATGAGTCCCAATAATACAATTCCTTGAATCGACCTCCTGGTACGATGAATCCGTTCGGTACGTACAAGAAGCTATACTGATCTGGGTTTAACATCACATCCGATTGTACTTTACGTCCCAGTTTGGCCCATAACGAAATAACACTCTTAGCGAATGCTTTTAACTTAGGATTAGATATTTGTTCCAAGATCGGTGGATTGGGATCGAAGTCAGGCGGCATCCAATGCTCGAGTTCATTGCCTTCAGCGAAATTTTGATCAACGAAATTCATAAGGCGTTCACGTGAAGGTTTATTATTTGTTTCTTTCATGAGTTTCGCAAAATCGTTCAACGTTTCATTTTCAGTTCGCTGTAGCTTAAGGTCAACGAAAGTTTTCGAATCGGGAAAAATTCGCGCGAGTTGTACCGTGTGAAGTAATTCTCCGGTGCAGTAAATCGAGGAATTACAGATCGGAGTGGTGAATGCGTGAGCATAACCTAGCAACCCTAACACGGGATAAATTTGCACACAACGTAATCGCGAAACTAACATATTTCAAGAATAAATATAGTTTGTATATAAATAAATCGAACCGATCCGGTAAACGTCCGGCTCGCAACTGATATTATGCACACATCACGCGCCATGACCAATGTGGGTCAACACTCAACACTTTAACATCCCTGCTTTACATTTCATAGTAAATACAATGCTTTCTCATTCCTGTCATTCTATACAAAATAACAATTATACTGTTAAACTAAAACATAATGTATCATATTTCAGATTTGTCATTCCCATTTCTGACAAGCATAAACCAGTTCGCAGTTTATTGACGCTAATTGTCATTACAACGACCAATTACTTAACGCGCATGCGCTATCAACGACGTTCCGTTATATCAAGGTTTTTATACTTAGTAATTAAATTTTAAAGGAGAAAATTATTACACACATGTTTATCTTTCGATAAAATATACTGATGAAAGTATATTGTGTATTTTAAAACGTATTTTAAACAAAAGTTAAGATTTAAAACAATTGATTTTTAGCAGCATTGATTTTAAAAAGCTAAAATTTATTTGTTATATGTAGCTTATCTCTGGATTTTAAGAAGTTTTTGTTTTTACTATCCTTATCTTTAAATGGGGCACTAAGCTTGTGTAAAGTTGCTGCTTGCTGTAATTACTGCAGTCGCCTTCTTTTCAACTGTTGTTGTAGTTAACTCATCAATTAATGACGACTTAAAATTATATCCAAAATGGTGGGTTCATTTAGTGTTCAGAGCTTATAGAGTACTTGTTATATTTTAATTAATTAAATATAAAAATATTTTATACCAAATTTCAAAACTTCTAATATCTCTACTAATGAAGTACTTAAATTATTAGATTTATATTCAAAGAAAATATGCTATTTCATTTTACATTGTAAAAACTATTCAGAAAATCAAGAATCGTTTTCGTTCTAATTTTTAAAGGAAATTGGAACAATTTTAACTTTTTGAAGGAAATTAGAGCGTTTTTGAAATGGAATTAAACGTGATTTAATATTATATTTGAATAAAATATACATGCATATTAAGTTTCCCCAAACAAACCACAAATAAAAAAAAAACAAAATAAAACCATAGCCTTTATTACTTTCACGGTAACTCGTCGAAATGACAAAAATTCTATATAAATAAATATTAAAAATCAATCAAAATATACAAGTGCTTAAATTATTATAACTCTAATAGGTAACAATATTTTTATATTCACTTTGAAATTTTTTAAGGATCACATGGTTTTATAACAACTAAATAAATTAAAACTAATATAAGACTGTAATACTGTTTACTGATATTGTTAGTTTATCTCTATTAAAAGAGATAAAGTACAAAAATTGTAAATTTAACACAACCGACAGATTCTAAGGTTTTAAAAATTTAACATTTAATAAAAGAGTCGTTTCAGAACGTGTTCACGTCAAAACAAAATGTCTGTCAATATGTCAGCTAAGCGATGAACAATCACTAAATCGAAAATGTAGTATACAGTTATAAAATAAGTCCTAAAATATACTTCAATTTTATACGAATATCTACTTTACATTATAAGTCATATGTACATACATTTTAATTTAAAATAATTTAAGTAATTTTTGTATACATTTATATCATTATATACATATTTAAAACTTAATTATTGGATAGTAAATGCCTTTTTAGTTGGACAAACAATAAATAAGGCACCTAAGTAGAAACTAATCTATATATATGTATATATACAATTGTCCCAAATATATTTTTAAGTATAATGGCACTAACATACAAGTGTTAATAATACCTGTTTCGCTCTCAAACAATTGAAAAATATCTAAATTTAATTTCACACACTTCGTAAACTTTGTAAATTTTAAAGAAAACTATAAAGATATACATTAGAATAAATGAAGAAATATCAGCGAAAAACTAAATAAATTAAGAAAATAATAATTTTAAGTTCATAGTTAGCTTTCAGATTTATTTTCTTTCGATAAAAACTCTGCCGATTCTTGTGACCGTGAGTCATAAGGGAGTACTAATAGGTGGTCCTCAGTTTTGTCGTACAGAGTCATTCTATGTCCATATTTTGCAAGGAACTCCAATACTACCCCGTTGGACCATCCAAAACCTGTCTGAACAGTGTATTCGCCTCCGCCTCCTATCCTGCCGGGTATTTCCACGTCATACTTCTCGAATAACTGCTTAGTGGCATTAAATCCTTTGTAGCAAGCCCTAACCCACGATTGAGCGATATCGAAGGCCACTTCTGACGATTCTTTAGTATCCAAAGTCTCAAGAGCATTCACTACTATACTGACTAGAGGTGGCCAAGCATTAGGGAAGTCCCATTGCTCTCCGCTACGAATCAAAGAAGCTGGTACTCCACCAGGATAATTGATGCCGTTCGAATTTTTAAGCCATTGGAGTATGCGTTCAGAGTTTAAGTTGACAAAACCTTTGCTGGCTACTTTCATCCACAACGGTGTTAGGTTACTAGGGTAGAAGTACTTTCTGTGACGATTATTTTTCATATCCCAGTCGTACCATATCCCGTCCTCTTTGTTCCAGAAGACTTCTTTTATATTGTAGCGCCACTGTTTGGCCAAGTAGGCCCAGTGACTGGCCTTGCGATTATTCAGAAGTAAAGATTGGAAATAAGCCATGTTTTCTAGAGCATTCGCAAATATTGCGTTTAGATCAACGGGTATAAGTTCGCTGGTGTTGATTGTTGAAAGATTTCCTTTGTTCTCTCCGTTGATATCAATAAACCAACGTGTCGAGAAATCCCATCCACTTTCAGCGGCACTTTTGATTTCTGTATAAAATCGTTGCTGAAGTTCCTGAGTTTCAAATATTCTTGAGTCCTTGTAATCTTCGTAATACGACTCGGGTCGTGGACCCTTACTAGGTGCGTAATATCTCAGAAGAGTGTAGGTCGCGTCACCAACATTAAATGTAACCAATTGCGTGTCTAGCCAATATTCCAACTCCTGTTCAAGGGCGTCTATATTTTTTCTAAGGAATTCAAGGTCTTGGGTTTCTTTTATATAAAGCGACATCATTGCTGTCAATAGAGGTGGTTGACTTCTCTCTTGGTAATACCATCTACTACCGTTAGGAATGTGTCCAAGTTTCTTCACCAATTCTATGAGATTGCCTATAACTCCTTTAACAGTATCTTCCATACCACTGACAAGAAGACCTTCTATAATCCAATAGGTATCCCAATAATATAGTTCTTTAAACCTTCCACCAGGTATGATAAACCCATTAGTCACAGGAATAAAGCTGAATCGTTCTGAATGTTCGAAAACGACAGACTTGACTTTCCTGCCGAGAGTTGGCCAGATATCGTTAATATTTTGTCCCAATTTTCTAAGATTATCATCGCGCACACCATTAAGGAATGCTGGGTTTTTATTATAATCCGTTGGCAACCATTCTTCCAACTCCCCGATGGCGTCAAAATGCTCATCAACGAATTTTTGAATCTGATCTCTTGAAGGATTATCATTAGTTTGGTTCAAAAGTGAATCGAAGTCAGCTAGAATTCTATCTGGTTCATCTCGCATTTCAAGGTCCACAAATGTTTTCGAATCTTGATATATTCGGGCCACCTGAACATGATGTAGTAATTTACTGTCGCAGTAGACTGGCTTGATGCAGGATGGCGGTAATTCGTGCCCTAAAACTGCCGAAAAACACGCGAGTAGAAAAACACGCGTCAGTAGAAGCACCTTCATCTGAAAGAAAGAGATAGTTTTTTCTTTATATCGTTCGCAATTCATGTAAAAAATGAATCTAATGATATTATATATGTATGTATAAAATAGTGTTATGAGTTACTGCGAAAAGAAAATCTAGTTTATGTTTATTTTGCTTTGAATATATGGAGTACTTAGTATAAAGCTCTTTCCAAAACATTGTACGTATCACCATTTTCTCTATAAAGATATTAAACTAAATTATATCTACGAGTCAAATTCTATATAAAATGCTGGTAACTTTATTGCATATTCAGATTTCTGTGTGTAAATTATCTTTTTATATTCATGTTGATTATTAAATTTAACCAACGGAACCATTCATTGTCTGTAATCTTTTGTTATTAAAATTATACTTTTTTTAAATCCCATTTGTGTATTTATTTGAATCGTTATATGTGCTTACTCAAACAGTAAAAAGATCAGTATGCGTACTACAAGTTTTCACACATCGTCACAGTTTTTACCTATGTTTAGGAGTTTTTCATTAATCTATCTTCGCATATTAAAGTATTAACATATTTATGAACTGACCAGTAAGAAACTCTTTGTATGTAGTGTGATTATATGAACTTCCTATAAACATACTATATGCAAGTTCTTAACAAATAGTTATATAATATTAGCATTTAATATACACAAAATGACACCGTAGAAAGTATATAATGTATTCAAAATAAATGTAGATAAGAATTAATACACCACGAGAAAGATATAAATATGCAATAAAATTTGATAATGCAATTCTTAATGTTAAAAATAAATATTTAAAAGTGAGCGATATAAAATTTTATTGTATCCGTGGCCTCTTGAAATATATAGGTAATTGAAATTAAATATTCGACAAACTTGTATATAGTTCATACTCAATATATAATATGTAATAAAATAATATTATTAAATTTATTATAATTAAAAGCTTTCGACCTAAAGATTCTGATAACAAAAATACTCTATCCAACTTCAGTTTTTTTTTTCATATAAACGTGACAATACGTACGTGACAAACGAATTTATTAACATACTTTTATTTTACCTAACTTTACTTTTAAAATACAATTTATTCTAATGTATAAAATTAAAAGAGTTCCTCATTTTTGATTCCTAAGTCATAGCCAAAATGTTACGAAAAGTACAAAATTCATGATGTTCAAGCTTTTTGTGTCCTTTTAATAGTTTTCTGTCATCAGTAATATCGTAAATTAATTACAAGTACGCTGCTTATAACAAAATAAATTATATCTGATACGTCCTAAGTGGCATTTCAGGTTATAAGAATATGTAGAATGAGTTGTTTATGAAGGAATAATTATAGTACAAATATTATATATGTTTTTAGAATACAACTTTTACTATTAAATTAAAACAAATTGATAAAGCGCCCTACAAATGTCGCGAGACAATTCGGTCATCCACACGTTTAACAAAAAAATACTTGACAGAAAGCAATAAAAAAATTAAAACTTGACATTTATTGATTAACAAAAAAAAAGTACAAAAAATCTGTAAAAAGATGTATAAGTCACAATGACATTTCAAATCTAAAATGACTTGACATTTGACATTTCAAAATGTCCTTAACCTTACCAACCAATAGAGACTAATAATTATTATTATTTATGAGTATAGACATAATTGCACAGGTTTATTTCTTATATTAGATGTCATTTTGCAAATTGGTAAAAAAAAATTCAAACATGTTTTATAAAATAATTGCATCAAGGGTCTGTTTAATTTTAATATATGCATAAATATGTGTAAAATTCTTCTATTTTGTTTAAGTCGTAGCAAAATAACTGGCTCTCAGTCAATTAACATTTTTTTCATCCTTATCGTCAACCAATTACCTAGTTCTCTTTTTTTCTTGGTTATTTTTTTGAGACCTCGACCTTTACGAGCTAATCAGTGATCACGTTTTTAGAAACGTACCATTTTAGAGATAATATTGTATTATTAATATAATATATTTATTTTGATTATTAATTCGAAAAAAAATGTTATGTAAATATGAAGATAAAAATAAATGTCTCGGAGCTAAGAAGAATCACGTTAAAAAAAATGGTATTTTAACTACAGAGCAAAAGTTATAGTTATGAAGAATTTACAGAGATAAAATAAAATTATAATGATAATAATTTTATTAATTTTTTTAGATATTAAAGTAACTTAAGACGTATAACAAATCATCTAATTTATTCGTGATGGGTTCAAAAGGTCGAAATAGATTAAATTAATTCGAACTTAGACCCTAAAACTATTGAATTGTCGGAGTCTTATAAATCATAACTGATAAACAGATAAATATCTTTTATACGCATGTTATAATGATTTTTATATACATTTTTTAATATATTTTTTTATTAGCATTAATTACTTACAACGATGTAAGAATATTTGTACACTAAAGCGCTACTCCTTATTTTGGAAGTGAGTATCTTAGGATATATTTCCTTATATTAAAAACAATTATATAAACATAAAATTATTGTACATATGTTAAATTATGTATGATATTATAAATAAATAGGTCCTTCAAAAGCAGTAAATGGATTACGAAATCAGTCAAGTGATGTTTGTTTAGGCACGAACGTTACTTCCTCATTACAAATATTTAGTTTCTTTAAAAAAATATTCGGTTTGATATAAAACAATTACAGCATAATTTATTATGATGTACAGTTTTTCCATCACTACCTCTAGTTATAAAATATAGTTAGTTAGTCTATAATCACAGCTGAAAATTGATTTTAGTTCAAAGAGGACCCTTTAATATAAATACTTTGTTTCTTAAATATTGCCATTCATTATTAATTTTTATTCAGTAAATAATCGCGCCATAAATAAGTATATAGACATTTTTAGAACTTATTATAAAACCTCATTTAGTATCCAATAATTCGGATAAAATTATCTTACACCTCTTAAAATCAAAAGTTATTTCATTTTATCTATTTGAAGATTCGTGAAAGGATTTTTATACAGAATATAGTATACATTTTATACAATGTATTATGTTAAATAAAATAACTCTTCTTCCACCTGGCAATTACCCAGCTTTAGCCAGGGTCTGCCTTACATGTTGTGAATAGTTTGGCTAATTGTTTTTACGACCAGCCGCCTGCCTGACATCAACCCTCTTTGGGAATCAGTTATCCTACTAATATTATAATTGCGAAAGTTTGTGAGTGTGTGTGTGTGTGTATGTTTGTTACTTCTTCACGCTTAAACGGCTGAACCGAAATGATATAATTTTGTATACAGGAAGCTGATGTCCAGGAATAACATATAGGCTACTTTACATCCCGGAAATCCGCGGGTGTTAAATAAAGTAGCTGTAGTCTGTAGTATGTTACTTCCAGTAAATATACATCATGGATCCAAACGTTTCAAGTGTGCTGTTCAATGTCGTGTTCACGGAAGATAAGACAAGTGTGTCAGCTTTGATTATTTATCATATTTCCATGGATATAACTAAATCCAAATAATACTAAGAATGACTAGCGTTAGAACTCAAAAAACTATATGCATATCATAAGATCTAAGATTTTCGCGAGTTTTATTCATTTAAATGAATCTATTATTTTTCATTTAAATGAAACTTTATTTTTGTCAAAAACTACATATTCTCGACGTTTCAGCTACTTTTTACATCTCGTCTGCCCGTGATCACGGTTGCTGAAAAGTAGCGGAAACGTAAGGAGTATGTAGTTTTTGACAAAAATAAAGTAGCGTAGTGTAATCAAACAAATAATGTTTTCATTTATATACATATCAATTAGATGAAGCGTTGAGTTATAAGATTATTTTTTATTCGTCTATCACATGTCGCATTGCATGTAAAGAAAAAGGCGGTTGCAGATTTTGGTTTGATTAGTATCATTGGTTGACGTGTAGAAATTATCTTATTAGTCCTTGATGGAAGTGCTTCTCGTTATTTGTGTTTTTATTAGAGATTTGAATGAATATTGTGTCCAGTTTTTAACACGCTTTTATAAACTGAGTTACTTATAATATTGTATTAACAAAATTGGTATCGTATTATATTTACTATCGTAGGTATATAGATTTCCAATATCGTTCCTGTTTTAGAAGATCAAACTTAACAAAACGTTTCATAGTAACTTTGTCGTCGTAAACCGCATCGAAATTTTTTCATCTAAACAATATTAATTAATTCGTCAAACGCCAGAAGTCCAGTCTGTTTTAAATTTCAATTTGGTTGTCCCAATATTTCTTTATTAAATTATTTTAAATCTATTGTTTATAAGACGACGTAAATATAACATTTTGGGAGTTAGTACGTGTTAGTTATTATTTTATAATCCACACTCCCGACATTTTGATTACTTTGAAAATTCTCATCCCGTTTGCCGTGGTCACGGTTGCTGCAAAGTAACCGAAACCGAAGTATATAGTAGGAAAATATTTGATTTATATAAATGAATACTCCGAAACTCTTAGATATCTTTATAAGTGAGAAATTTGTTTTGAGCTAACGTAAAAACCATACACTTAAAATTTAGTTTTTAGAACCTTATCTACAACTTCGCTGTAATTACAGAACAAAACAAAAACGCTGCTATATTAACAATAAATAAAATTACAGTAAGACAACATCGTCAAACTATTTATCTTGTTAAAATATGACTAATTGTTTGAATTTTTTATCATATAGGAAAAATTATGACAGCCATTTTCATTTCGATCGCCTTAAAATACTTTACTTATATGAAGAGCTATAAAACTAAGTATCCATTGTCTCAGATCACGTATTCACAATCCACCTAAACAAATATTATAAGTATCGGTCAGATGAATGTCTTTCATAATAATAAAAATATAACATAATGTAGGAAAAAGCGAAAAGAAATAAATATTGTCCAACGTAACTTGATGTATGTAATTTACGAGTATAAGAATTTATTACGATTCCAGTGACTGAAACAGTGTTAAAAAGATAAGTGGAACACTTAAAATGC